GCAGGTGCCAAAATGTCCCAGGGTGGTGGTACCTAATGTAGTGGTGGCACCCACCATGGCACCAGCAAGGTGGCCCAGCCCCAGGAGGGCAAGAGCAAAGTGGATGCAGTTGCAGGTGACGGTGTCGTACTCCACTGGCTGGTCCATGGCCACCCGGATCCGTCGCTGCAGGGCAGCCACGTCCAGCCCTCCCTTCCTGCGGAGCACCTTGGCTGGGCCCCGTGTCCGTAGGAGGTGGCTCTTGCCGTGCTTAGCCACGACGCCTGATGGTGACATCCCTGAGCTGCCTGCAGGGCAAAGTGGACTCTGCACCCCATGTCCCTTCCATGGAGATGTCCCCATGCCATGACAGCTCCTGGGGCTCACCTTCCAGGTGGATGATCTCGCCGTCACCGCAGTAGATGCCAGCATGGGCACCCCACCAGCCAGGGCCCCCGGAGGCCAGCGGGAAGAGGAAGAGGTCCCCAGGCTGGGGCTCAGCCACCCCGTTGGGGACTATGTTGAAGTGTTGTCCCAGCAGCCCCTCGCAGAGGAAGAACCCTGCCGTGGTCACTGCCCCAGTCACTGCCTGGGGACCCAGCCATGTTTCAGGGCCACTGGTGGCCTGGGGACACCAGCAGTATCACTGACCTGCTGGCTCATCCCACATCATTGGTGGCTTAAGCACAGCTTGGGTCTCTGGCCTCCATGGATGGAAACCCTTTGGGAAGGGGCTGCCCCCTCGAGGTGCTGAAGCACCCATGGGTGCCAAGGAAAAGGCAGGGTGTGCAGCATCCAGCCCAGTTGTGCCAGGGCTGTGACAGGCAGTTCAGGGCACAGGGGCAATGCCAGCACTTACCTGCCTGGAACTGCTCACCTGGAGGGACAAACACCTTGCATCAGCCCCAGTGTCATCTGTGTCATGGCTCAGCCCTAGCCTGGGCTGCTGCCACCCCCTGCCCAAGCACCTGACTGGGATTCTCATGCCAGCACCCCCAAACCTGCCGTACCCAGGAGCCCAGCCAGTGCCAGGCCTGGAGGAACAGCCAGTCCGGGCCTTGCAGGGTCTGAAGGAGGGAGCTCACCTGTGGGGAGAGGAGGCAGGGCAAGACGGGAACTGTCCCCTTCTGACACCCATCCCCTGCCACCACCCGTGTCTCTGCCAGCACACAGCCCAGCCCAGTCCAGCCCAGCCTCCCAGGCCACAAACCCCCCCCCCCCACCCTGGCCCAGATCCAGGTCCAGGCAGGTCCTATGGCAAGGGGGTGGGATCACCTGGATGCAGGTGTCCTTCCTGCTGGCTTCCCCTTTACCTGGGCGAGGAGATTCATCTGCAAGCAGAAAACATGATGTCCCAAGAGCTGGGGGCAGGTACCCATACCTTGGAGACTTCTCTGTCCCCACAGCTGTGGTGACACGTCACCCTTCTAAAACCCAAGCTGCAGCCTCGGGGCTCGTTCTGTGCCCTGCTGCCTCACCTTGGGGGCACCTCCAAGGTCCCCTCACTCCACTGTGTTTCCCAAGCTGCTGCTGCTCCAAAGGTGGCTGCAGGGCAGGACCTCAGCCCGCCCCTTCGAGCACCACAGTGGCTCTTGGCAGCGGCACATGGCTCCACCGGTGCCTGGGAATGTGCCCGGACCGGCTGCACCGTGGCACTCTGCCCATCCTAAAGGGCCAGTCCCACGGGGACAAACCCAACCTGGTGTGACATTTCATCCACAGACCTCTTGGGTGACCCCAAAGGAGTCAGGAAACAGCCCTGTGGCCACCATGCTTTGGTAACCACTGACCACCAGGCTTATGACAAATCACCTCTCGGTGCCAAAACCCTTTGGCTCTGTGAGACCATCAGCCTGTACCCAGCCCCTTGTCCTAGGAATGGCCACCAGCCTGTCCCCGGCCCTGTCACCCCAGAATGGTGCATGCCCGGGGTCAGCTCCCGAGTCACATTAAACTTTAATCCTGGTGCCAGGGGTCAGTGAAGGCTTCAGCAGGGCTCAGGTGGGTGACTGTCACCCTCTGTCATCGGGCAACCTCCAAAGAATCATTTATCAAGGAGCCTCCAATAAACAAGAGCTAATTACAGGTGAAACCTGAGCCTGGCCTGGACCCAGCTCAGTGCAGGCAGTAATTAACCCTTCCCAGCCACCTCCAGTGCCACAGCCACCCTCCTAGAACTTCATGTCATCTTTTGTTGGTCTTGCCCCCTTCTAAACTCCACCATCCTCTCCTGGTCTCTGTTATCTTGCCCACATGTACCCATCACACCCTTCTCATTCCCATCCTCCATTCCCTCTCATTCCCTCCCAGTCCCCATCATCCCATCTCAGTCCTTACTATCCCATCATGATCTCCATTCACCCTATTGCATCCCACTGCCCCCTCATGATCTCTGTCACACCTTCCTGGTCTCCATCATCCCTTCCCGGTCACTGCTGTCACCTCCTGCTCTTCACATTTGTCATTGTCTCTGGGTCACCATCAAAACATCCAGATCCCCATTGTCCCCTCCTGAACTTCATTATTTCCTCCCAGTCTTCATCTCCTTGTTGCCATCACCCCCTCCTGATCCTTGTTGTTGCCTCTTGGTCCCCATCATGTCCTTTCCATCCCACATCAGCTCCTCGTGGTCCCCACTGTCACCTCTTGATCCCCAATATCTCCTCATGTTCTCTTTGTCCTCATTGTCTCCTCCTTGTTGTCACTGTCCTGTCCCATTCCCCACCACTCCATGCTGTCAACAACAGGAGCGGGACTGCCAGGACAGTGGTGCTTCCCTGGGTCACTCGATGTCCCCAGCCAAGCTGTCCCTAGCCAGGGTGGATCCACCAGTTCCCCACAGCCAGTGGGATTAGGGTGGCTGGAGCCCTGGGGCTGCTACTGACCGCAGATCTCAAGCCCATCACCAGCATCTTTAGGTAATTAGTAAATTAGTAATTAAACGCTCTCTGCCTGCTGGGGGGAAGGAGGGCAGATCCCAAGGTTTTAGGCTGGGTAATCCTGTGGCATCTGCCCCAGCATCTGTGACCGAGCCGAGTCACGACCCTGCCTTGGGCTTTAACATTTGCTCCTTCACCCCCACCCACCACCCACTGCCCCTCCACCATGGCGTCAGGCCCGCTCGTGTCACACCCAAAACAGGCTGGGTTGGGCTCCCAGGAGTGCCCTGGGTGCTCATGGAGCCCTCATCCCCAGGAAGAGGACAGGGTGCTGCTCCACAGGGAGCTCACCATAGGGACAGCACCCAGCTGGGTGCAATGGAGAAACGGGGTGGGAAACCATATTTTTGTAATTATTGGCTTTCCTGGGGGTGCTGGTGATTGGCTGGCAGCAGATGGTTGGCCCAGCTAATCCCCCTCCCAAATCCCTGCTCCAGAGCTGGCTTTTACCCAACAGCAAGGAGGGGTCAGGCAAATTAGCCTAACTCAGCCATCCCACCATGCTGGCCGCTCCCCACTGTCCCTGGTGCTGGCCACCTGTGTGCCCATGGGTGGGCTGGCACGCCGGGATGCCGGCGTTCCTGGCACCCTGGGTCGGGCACAGGGGAGTGTTCACCCATGGGTGAGAGGTGTGGAGGCACCCAAGGGCCGGGCAGGGAGGTGACAGCTTGCTCCCACTGCATTAGCCCAGCGTCATAATTCTGCCACGGGAGGAGGTGGCCCCTGCTGCAGATGGTGGCGGTCAGAGATCTGGGTCAGGACGGGGCTGTGGGTGGGACAGGGCACCGTGGGGAAATGGGGGGTGCCAGGGTGGGAGGGGGCTGGAGGCAGGGGGCACGGAGCCACGGTCCAGACAGGAAGGTTGGTGGAGCCATCTAGTCAGGAAGGGTGATGGAATGTTGCTGCACATGGGAACATGGAGCCATGGTGCAGGCAAGGCTAATAGAGTGAGTCACAGTGCAGACTGTTAAGATGGAGAAACGCTTCAGGCAAAAGGGGTGGAAGTAGGTTGTAGGCAGGAGGATGGAGCCATGCTGCAGGCAGGGAGATGCAGGAATGCTGCAGGCAGCGTGGATGGAGCCGCACATCAGTTGGGGATGATGTAGGGGTGACCCCCAGCCCTTGGATCCACTGGAGTCACTGCTGCCAGCCCGCGGCAGGGACCTGCTGCCATTGCCTGTCCCCTGGGACACCTTCAGGGCATCCACACCCCTGAGCCCCTCTGGAATGGGCATAGCAGGCCGGGAACCCCTGTCATCAGCCTGGCCCATCGCTGGGGACAAGCTGGGCCCATGACGGCGGCCACCCCCCACCCCCCTGAGCGGGGCGGGGTGGGGTTTAGCCGCTAAAGCCCACAAATCCCAAATTGTGCTGCCCTGTCACCGCGAGGGTTTAGCGGTGGTTGCATAACCCCGGGGCCACCTGGCCCCCACCCTCTGCGGTGTCAGCAGCCTCAACATCCGTGGAGGCCCCGTCCCCGGGAGGGGATGCTGAGGCACAGCGAGGCCCCTACCGAGCATCCCCCCTCCCCTCGCCATCAGGGCCGGTAATTAATTACTTGGGGGCAGGGAAATTACCCCCCTTAATTACCACTTTTCGTTATTCCCCTCTAACCGCCTTAGTGAAGGGCTTATGCGCTTACAGGACCTGGTGGGTCCCAAGGGGAGGACGACCCGTACGGGGGGTCCCCAGCCCAAGCCGCACGTCCCAGCCCTGTCGCAATCTCGGCCTCGCAGTGCTGGCTTGGGGGGGCTGCACGGACAGGGTGACACCTCCGCGGCGGCGCGCGGGGGGGTGGCTTGGGTGTCGCGGGGTTTAGGGTTACAGGGCTGGGGCTCAGCACCTTTTTAATTCTTCATCGCGTGGCTGATTGATCCCCCCCCGCCCCGCGCAGACACTAAAGATTAAGAGGGTGACAAAGAGGCGGCTGCTTACACAGCGCCCGCCGCTAAGCCGCCTTGAAGAGAGCAAGGCAAGAGCCCCGCTGGCCGCAGAGCCGCCGGAGCACCCACCGCCTGGCCAGACCCTCCGCGGGGACCCACAGGGACGGGACAGGGAGAAGTCGGGAACGCCGGGTGCGGGATGGCTGCGTCCCCGGCGGGGTCGGTGGTGAGCGCCGGGCTGGATGAGAGTCCCACGGGTAAGAGGTGGTTCTGCTGGGCCGGACGCGACACGGAGGGACATGGGTTTTTCTCTGGGATGGCTGGGCCCCCGATGTGGTCACTCCCCAAGATGCCTGGGGGTCTTCTTCATGGTTCTCCTCTGGGATACTTGGAATCCACATAATGGTCTATCACCAAGATACTTGGGGTCCTCCATTGCAGTTTTTCTCTGAGATGCCTGGGATCATCATGGCCTTCTGGATGCCTTTGGTCCCTGTCGTGGTCCTTCTCTGAGATATCTGGGGGTCCCTATTATGGTTCATCTCCAAGACACCCAGTGTCCCCATCATAGTTGTTTGGGATGTTTGGGTTCTCCATTGCCAACCTTTTCCAGAATAGCTATGCTTCTCCTCATGGTCCTTATCCTGGGTGCCCAGGGTCCCCATCATGGTTGCTAGCATGCCTGGGGTCTTCAGCTGCCGTCCTTCTCCAAGATGCTGAGTCCCCATCATGGTCCTTCCCTAGACCAGGATGCCTGCAGTGCCCAACCCTCTCCACGGTATCCATGGTCCTGATTTGTGTTCCTTCTCCATGATCCCTGAGGTCCCCAGCTATGCCCCTTCTTCAGGATTCCTGCGGTCCCCTCTAAAAACCTCTCCTGGATACCCTTGGTCCCTGGCCCTTCACCAGGATCCTCAGAGTTTCCTGCCATGACTCTTGTCTGGGGTGTCCCCAGAGCTGTCCCTTTTTCAGGACACCTCCCATTCCTGATTGCAGCCCTTCTCTGGGATGCTTAGTCCCCTTCCTGGGATGCCTGGTGTCCCCATCCCTAAGAACACCATTTCGTCCCTTTTTTTAATTTTCAAAATTCCTGTGAGAGTTCGTCCTGCATCACTTTGTGTGCTGGGGTGTGGGATGATGGTGAACTCGTGGAGTCCCTGAGGTGTCCCCATTCATGTCCCTGGGCTGAACCAGCAGAGACAGGAGCCACCCCATCTCCAGGGTGCTGGGAAGCAGCAGGGACTGGTGGGTGGGACAAGGGACATTGGGATGCCCAGAGTCAACCCAGATGTGATGGTTCCACTTCCACAGGTCTGAGCCCAGCACCCGGGAAAGAGCTGAGCCCGGTGCTGCTGTGCAAGGTGTGTGGGGACACCAGCAGTGGGAAGCACTACGGCATCTACGCCTGCAATGGCTGCAGCGGCTTCTTCAAGCGCAGTGTCCGCAGGAAGCTCATCTACAGGTGGGAACAGGGAGTCCCCATGGGGCAGGGAATGGGGGGACAGAGGGGCAGGCACCCTGTGGATGGGCATCCAGAGGGCAAGAACCCGGGTCCCATAGACAGAATAGAGGAAAGGACACCCCACAGGGCAGGGACCCCAGGAATGGCCACCCAGGGTGTCAGGGATCCAGGAGATGGACACCGTGGGGCAGGAGTGGGGGGAACAGGCACCAAGCAGGGTAGGGACACCCAGCAGAACAGGGACCCCATGGGGTGAGGCACCCAGAAGGGAAGGGATGGACACCCTGCGGGACAGGAACCTTGCAGACGGACACTCAGCAGGACAGGGAGCTTGGGGCAGGTCCCCAGTGGGGTAGGGTATCCCGGAATGGACACTCAGCAGGCCAGGGACCCCAAGGCATGGGCAATGGGTGGGGCAGAGACCCAGGGGGACTTAAAACCACTCAGGGGACAGACCTGCAGGGGGAGAGGCATCTGTGTAGAGGGTGTCCAGAGCACCCCTGATGGGGGGGCCAAAACACCCATCAAGGCAGAGTGATCATTAGTATAGAGCACCCTTGGAGTGGGGACAGGGCACCCACTGGGGACAGGACACCTCCTGGGGAGAGGGAGGGAACCCATGGGGAGAGACATGGTACCTATGAGGGAGGACCCTCCTTGGGGACAGGAACCACCTCAGGAGCTACAGCCATGTGCCACCTCTCCCCATAGGTGCCAGGCGGGGACGGGGCTGTGCCCAGTGGACAAAGCTCACCGCAACCAGTGTCAGGCCTGCCGGCTCAAGAAGTGCCTGCAGGCTGGCATGAACAAGGATGGTAAGATGGGGGGGGACACACAGTGATGAACAGCAGGGGGTGACAGCAGGGTGGTCGGTGCTGATGCCACCTTGCCTGCACAGCTGTGCAGAATGAGCGCCAGCCCCGCAGCACAGCCCAGGTCCAGCTGGACAGCATCCAGCTGGATGCTGAGCTGCCCCCTGAGCACGTGGCCACCACATGTGAGGTCCCCCCATCACCCTGTCCGGCTCCTCGTGGCCCTGGTGCCACCGTCACCCCGGGTCCCCAAGCGCCCACACCACCCACCAACCATCGCTTCATGGCCAGCCTGATGACGGCCGAGACCTGCGCCAAGCTGGAGCCCGAGGACGGTGGGTGGCTGCCAGTGGAGAGGGGGTGGGTGGGTGGTGGATGTCCCCACGGTGTGGTGACAACCAGTGTCCTCTTCCACCCCTGCAGCTGATGAGACGGTGGATGTGACAGGCAGTGAGCCAGAGCGGGCAGCTGGCGAATACCAGATGGCACCGTACCCGGCAGCCAGCCCCGAAAACATCTATGAGACCTCAGCACGTCTCCTCTTCATGGCTGTGAAATGGGCCAAGAACCTGCCTGTCTTCTCCAACCTGCCCTTCCGTGACCAGGTGGGGTTGGCAATCTCCACGAGGAATTGGGGATCTGCCTAGGGGGCAACAGGAACCCCAAAAATGTAGCAGCCAGTTGTAGTAGCTGGAGCATATCCACAACATTCTTAGGGCTCCCTGCAGAGGCTTGTCAGCCCAACCAACCTGTTGCCAGCCTACAGGTCCTGGAGACTTTGGGGGTGACAAAAGTTTTGGGGTTCCCCACACTCTCCCCAGGTGATCCTGCTGGAGGAAGCATGGAGTGAGCTGTTCCTGCTCTGTGCCATCCAGTGGTCCATGCCCCTGGAGAGCTGCCCGCTCCTGGCTGTCCCCGAGCCGACCTCTGGGAAGCTGCTGCCGGCCACTCTGGATGTGCGGGCACTGCAGGAGACCCTTGGCCGCTTCAAGGCGTTGGCCGTTGACCCCACGGAATTTGCCTGCATGAAGGCTGTGGTGCTCTTCAAACCAGGTGAGGCCACCCCCAGCAGCCACCAGAGGCCGTCCCCAAGTCCCTCCCCAGCCTGTCACCCCCTTGTCCCTGCAGAGACCCGTGGCCTGAAGGACCCTGAGCAGGTGGAGAACCTGCAGGACCAGTCACAGGTGATGCTGGGCCAGCACAACCGTTCCCACTACCCTGGGCAACCCGTCAGGTACCGCTGTCCCTATGTCCTCACGGGTGACACCAGGGTGGGACTGTCCCACCCATGGCCACTGCTCCATCCCCCAGGTTTGGGAAGCTGCTGCTGCTCCTCCCTGCGCTGCGCTTCATCTCCTCGGAGCGCGTGGAGCTGCTCTTCTTCCGCCGCACCATCGGCAACACCCCCATGGAGAAGCTGCTGTGTGACATGTTCAAGAACTGAACCCCCTTCCCTGGCTTGTCACCCTGTGCTGGCACCCTGTCACCCCCACCCTGGGATGTGAAGGCGCCTGTGGTTCCATCTCGGGCAATGTCCAGCGCTGTGGAATGCTGGCAGCAGCTGGGAGGTGGGAGCAGCTTCCCTGGCGGTGGAAGGGGCTGTCCCCAAGTGCGTGCCCAAGGCACCGGCAGCACCTCACTGGGGTCTGTCCCGGTGGTGTCCCAAATGCTGGAGGAACCCAGGCAGAGGCACCTCGGCACCATGAGGACCTGCTGCCACCCAGGGGGCAGCCCCGGGGACACTACCCCAGGGATGAGGCCAGCCTGGGCCATGACATCAGCCAGGGGTGACAGCACCAAGGGTGGTGCCAGCCCCGCAGTGACACCAGCCCAGGGGTGACACTCACAGAGGTGGTGACACCTGGGGGTGACACCAGACTGGGACAACCTCAGGTTGATCCCAGGCCAGGGCTGACCCCAGCCCGGGGTGACACGTGGGACAGACCCTTGTCCCTCCGTTCCGGGGTCTCCCACTTGTGTCCCCCATTTTATACTCGGAATAAAGAGAGTTTTGCAGGCAGAGTCCCTGTGCCAATGACTTGGGTCCCCTTGGGTGGGGGACTGGGGGGACCAGCTGAATGTTAATAACACAAATAGGAATAAATAAAAATCAATAATCTGAATGTAAGTACCTTGAAAAGAAATTATCTGAATGGAAGGAAATGAAATAGAAGTAAAATTAGTATAAATAATCTGAATTAAATGATCAATATAAGGAATATAAATAGAAAAATAGGAATAAAAAGAAAATGAAAATAAATAACCTGAAATTATCTGAATATAAAAAAATAATCTGTTTGGAAATATTCTATTAGAAATAAACTGAAAAAAAATTAAATAGAAATATAATGAAACTAAACAAACTGAAATACTTTGAATAGAAATTAACTTAAAGTATGTTAACATAAGTAGATGAATATGAATAATCTGACTGGATAAAATGGGCATTAAATAGTAAAAACACAAATAAAATTATATTAAATACACTTAATAGAAATAGAATGCATATAAATTATTGGAATGTAAATACCTGCTTTGAAATCTCCTTAAATTATCTGAATAGAAAGAAAATAAAACTAAATAATCTAAAATAATATCAATAGAAATAAGTTGAGAATAAACAAACTGCATATTAATAAGAGAAGAATAATGAATCTCATTGGAAATCAACTGAATTAAATTATGTGGACAAATAAAATGAAATAATCTGAACAGAAATACATTGAAAAGAAATTGTCTGGATATGAATAGTCTACCTAAAACTAATCTATAGAAATAAAAATAATCTGAAATAATCTGAATAATCCAATAGAAATAACTGGAAATTTTCTGAATACAGAAAAATTTAAAATAAATTGTCTAAATATACATAAAATAAAAAGTATCTGATTTTAAAAAATTGTATATAAATTATTTGCATATACATAAATAAAAATAAGGTGAATAACAAGTAAAATAGAAGTTCCGTGCATATAAATAATGAGAATGTGAATAACCAGCATGAAAGAATCTGAAGGGAAGTGATCTGGAGCCCTGGCTCCCCATCCCAGCTCCTCCATCCACATGATCAGGACTGGGAAAATCCACAACTTCATAACCCCGCGGAACAAATGGAAAAAGGCCCAGAGCCGGGGTGTGGGCAGGGGGCAGCAGGAACGACGTCCCACTGGGACTTCTTGGCCTTTGCAGAATGACACTTTTATTGGTCCGTTTTTGTCCGTTTGTACAAGATTCCGAGCGCGGGCGACGCGGGATAATAGATCCTCTTCCATACAGACTCTGTTTAGTTTACAAGCAGCGACTTTATAAATTACTTAGAAAACTTTCCATGAAAAATAACAATAATTCCCCTCGCAGCCCTCCAGTAGTCAGTACATTCAGCCCTCCGGAAAACCCTCTGGGACCCCAAATCCTGCCAGGGAAGGGCTGGGAAGGAGCGGGGGAGATGCCGGGGAAGGGGACCCCGGACCACGCCATTATCCCTCCAGTCCTGGCAGCTCCTGCCACAGCTGGATTTTATATATATATATGTATAGATTTCTTTGACGTGTGTTTTTCTTTATACATATAACCACAAATATATTATACATATATATATATATAAAGAAACATATTTTTATATATTCTATATATATTCCATACATTTATTTCTGTCAAGAAGTCTATTTTCTTTATATATTTTCCCTACATTCCATACATTTTTATATAAATGAAGAAATAGAGAGAAAATATATTTCTTTATATATACTATATATTTCCTTTGTATATTTCTTTACAGAGAAATACACTCTTTCTATAAAGAAATATATAAATACATGTGAAGAAACATACATAAACATACATATTAAACATATATTAAATATATGTTTAAATCGTATAGCATTAAATATGTTTCTACATAGAGAAGAAATACATTAAAATATATATAAAGTAATAAATATTCTTTATATATAGTACATATCTCCTAAATATATATACTTCCTTATATAGAGAAATATGTAAAATATATACATAAGGAAATACATAATTAATTTCATTTATAGACTTCTTGATATATAAATATATAAGCATATATACATAAAGAAATATGTATTCTTTATATATACAATATCTTATATATTTATATAAAATATGTACTATATATAAGACATAGAAAATACATAAATGTATTTAGTCTTAATATTCTTTTATGTATTTTTAAATTATACAGAGAATATTTATTATTTTGTGTGTACATCTTCTTTATATATAGAATATATATATTATATATGTTCTTTATATATATAAATATCACTTAAATATATTTTCCTTATATGGAGATTAAATATATATAAGGAAAATAAATATATTCCAAAAGAAATAAGATACATATACACGTGTGTATGCACACATATATACGCATACATGTAAACATGTGTACATGTATATATATGCACATATCTATTTGCCCCGGTCAGATCTGACATCCTTGCCCTCATCCCATGGGGATGAGGAGCCCGAGGACGAGGCTGGACCCTTCCCTCACAGCAGATCTCCTCCCCTGGGGCCGCTTTAAGGGCAGTTCTGGGGTTTTTAGTTCAAGAGGCTCAGAAGGCTGGTTTGGCACCAAGCACTCAGATGCTCCCAGCACTCCCAGCTCCCAGAGAATTTGGGAAGGCTCCTCAGGAGTTTCCACTGTTGTGGTCACCATCTGCCTTCTCAGCACATCCGTGTCTGTCCCCAAAGCCCTGTTCTCCCCTCTGGGACAGGGAAAATCCCATTTTCCCCCAAGGATGGGGGGCGATTGACTTGGTCTTGCTCCACTCCCAGGATGCTGTGCCGGGGCCGATGCTGTTCCCACTCTCCCTGCAGCATCTCTCACTTCCCCCGTTGGAAAAAATATTAAAGATAACATGAAAAAAAGTAAAATTTCAAATATCAAATAAAAAATTACCCCAATAAATAAACCATCCCTGGAAAGGGCAGGGGGAGAGGGGACCGAGGAGCAGCTCAGCCAAATCCAGTCATGCTGGGAAAAGACAAAATATTCAGGAAAACTCAATTTTTTTCTATTTTCCCCATTTTTATGGCATTTCAGGAAAGGATGAGCCTCAGTCCAGCCCACCTAGGAGGACAGATCCAGCCTTTGTAAATCTAATTATTGCCCTGGGGCTCCTTTCCAGAAGTTTTCTGGTACCCGGAGCTTCTCCAGGTGCCACTGAGGATGATGATGAGACTGGGGAGGGATCACAAGCTGAGTCAGTAACTAGCATCGGTAATTAGTCCTATGATGGGTTATGATGGTATAATTACACCTCCAGGGATTTCTTGCTGAGAATAAAACTCCATGTTTTATTGAGTGATGGCTGGTGACACCAAGGATGGCTCAGCCAATTGCTCCCCTCCTCTCCAGCCCAAAAATAATAATAACAATACTAGTTAAAAAAAAAAAAGTTCTGTCTGGGGAAAAATACAAAAAAAAAATTAAAAAAATATATATTTACATGAAACTCCAGGAACCAGCATATAAACAAATATCGCTTCAAGTAGTCCTCGATTATTTATAATTATTATTATTTTTTAATACTGATGATCTCAAAAAGAAAAAAAAAAGGAAAGGTGGTTAGGTCTCGTTAAAAAATAAAAAAACAAAGGGAAAAGGTGATTTTTGGCAGGTTTTAACACTTTTCCATGCACTTGGTGTTGGCGTGGATGAGGTGGTTAAAGCGCGGAGGGCTCGGCTGCAGTGGAGCCAGCTCGGGATGCTCCATGGGATTTTTAGGCTCTGTTTGCTCCTACCAACAGGCGATGGCGATCGGCACGAGGATTTGGCGGCGGATGTGCCCAGACGTGGGATGCTCCGAGGGGAAGGGCCAGGAACCGGTCAACGCCTCCCATCCCTGTCCATCCCCCAGCCACCTGAAGGTCTCAACCCCCCCAAATCATTAAGGCCACCATTAAAACCGTCCCCTCCCGGCCTTTTTAATTAAGAATTCATCTCCTGGCGTTAACGAGGAAGCCATCAGAGCATTGCCAATGGGGAGGCTGCCCCGGCATGGATGTGGCTCCGGGGTGGAGCACCTCAGACCATGAACTCGTTGCTCCCCATGAGGACAAGGGGTTGGGCGGCAGCGCAATCGGCCTCAGGGTTCCTCTTGCGTCCCCCTCCAGGCCCCCCATCCGGGGGCTCTTTGGTTTTTGCGGGGGAAGATTTCACACTCTTCAGTTTCTGTTTGCCCTTCTCCGGGTTGAAGGTCCCGCGTGTGGTGAACTGCGGCCGGTCCTCAGCGTAATGGAGAGGCCCCGTCAGGCCCTCGGGGCTCGCCCGGGTTTCAGGGCTCTCGCCGTGTCCCCCTGCTCGGTAGAAAGGAGATTTGGAGTACATCTGGAAGCGCTTCCGGGGCAGGTGGGGCAAGCAGGAGGTGGACGATTGGGAGGAGGAGGAGGAGGAGACGGGGGTGTCGGTTGGCTCCGCTGGGTCCAGCCGCATCCTGGGGTGCCGTCGCAGCCGGCTCGGCCCCTCGGCCTTGGCGGGGCGCAGGGAGGTAAGTGCTACACTTCTCTCTGCCGGGGCAGAAGGACCACAGATGGTCAGCACGCCCACACAGCACCAGTATCCAACCACCCTGCTCCCTGGGGACACATGCCATCGAAGCCAGGACAACGTTCCCAGCATCTCGGTGGGGACAGCATCACCACAGATGATGCGGCAGTGCTGTAAGAATGCTCACCTCCCCACCAATCCTGGCTGCTCCCACCCATGCCCCCAGCGCCACGTGCTTGAACCCTTAACCCCCCTCATTGCATACATTTAAATTGTTGACTTCTAATACTTGAAAACCCCAAATAATCCTTCCCAAAGCAACAGAAAGACATGGTGGAAGATGTCCCTGCCCATTGCAGGGAGATGGATTTCATGACCTTTGAAGGTCCCTTCCAACTCAAACCATTCCATCACAAACCCAAGAACTCCAGCATTTACCCGAGCGATCGGAGATGGCTCCTTCGGAGTCGAAGTTCAAATTTTCAGAGCTGTCAGCTGTGCCAATGGAGGCTTCGGACTCGAGGGTTTCGTCGTCGGAGGCGCGGGGCTCCAGTGTCAGCATCTCGAATGTCAGCTCCTCCCTGCAAAGCCAACCCAGCCCCATTGAACCAACGGGACCAAAAAGGTGGAGAGGAGAAAGGGATGCACATGCACCGAGAGATCATGGAGGGGTGGAGCCCTCCAGTTATCAACCACATGACACCAGGCAACACCCAGAGGCTGGGGACAGGGCTTGAACCCTTGGCCAGACTCACTTTTCCTTTTGCAAGCTCTCGATCTGTTCAGTCAGCACCTTCTCCTCCTGCTGCATGGCCACCTGCTGCTGCTCTGTCACTTCCATCTCCATGGCCTCCTCGCTGCTCAGGGTCTCCTCAGGGACATCTGTCACCGAGGGCAAGCGGCCGGTGACGGGGGACGCGGGGCTGGGGAAGGCGCCGCGTCGCACGCGTCCTTTGCCCTGAAGGGAGACAACGGGGTCACCACCACCAGGCGAGGCGATGCGGCAAACACTCAGGTGCCAAAAACACTCGGGAGCGAAGAAGAAGGCCCCGGACACCGATCCTCAGTGTGCCGCCGCCAGATGCACCCCAGGCCCTCAGGCTGGGAGAACTACCAGAAGGACTCAACACATTGGAGGGGCTGAGGATGGAGGTGGTGAGGATGATGCCGATGGATCAAGTGCAAGTTGGTCCAGGTCCTGGAAAGCCCAGCTGGCAGCAGGCTGGGTCCCCACAAAGCCCACAGCCTGCGTGATGGGAAGCTTGATGGTGGCTTTGGGTGGGAGCATCACCAAGGCTTTGATTTCAGGGCACCTGATAAAACCTGTTTTATCCTTGGATCAAGTCTCACATCCTTCCCTTATCTACCCTTGCTATTTCCTGAGCATCACAAGGATCTCACTGACCCCTTCAGCAAACAGAACTCCCACCAAATTATGCAGTCCATGCCATGCTATGTCTCATCTACAGGAGATCCAGAAACCACTGTAAGACAATCAATGTTCAGCTGTGCCCACAGCTGAACTCACTCTGATCTAATGCAGCTCTGAAGAACTGTCTTATTTTTTTAAATACTGAAACTGAAAACAAGAAAGGATGCAAATGGTGGTGGTAGAGATGGAGAGATATATATACAACTGCTTTAATCTTCTGAGGATCAGGTCTACAGAACTGCTCCATGGAGCAGAGGAAAATGGAGGATTCTTGGAGATGAGGGACATGGCAGACATTAAACAACTTTTATCTTAACTGTTATCATGACCTGACTTCTCATCTTCTACTTGCCAGATCCTGACATGACCAGGACTAGGAGATGTCCATCATTTGCTGCCCTCCCCTGACAGCCATTACCAAGGGAGATCCTGCATCTCCTTGGGGTTAAAGAACTTGTTGCAGGCCAGTTCTGCTCCCGCCATTTAATCCCTACAACTGTGGCATCCCTGGGTCTTGCTGATAACTCATGTGCTCAGGATAGATTTTCAGGATAAGGGATCCTCCCTTTTTCCCTTTAAAAGCCACATTTAGTCCATTTTAGCCCTTTCATCTTTTAACTCCACATCTCAGAGATCTTTCTTTGTCTGCAAAGGCTCTCCTGTGCCCCGGTGTTCTTCTGATGACACTTTCCACGTGGGCTCCTGAGCTGAAGCACAGCTCCCTGAATCCTATTAGCCAAAAGCCCCAAGATCCTGAAGATCCCACTGCCTCGTGGACTTAAGCCCCTGAGAAATGCCATGCTCAGGGGAGCAGAGCTCAAATTTTGCTCTTCTCCACCTCCTGACACTCATGGATGTGGAAGAATGGGGGGAACCTGAGGGAGTTTTCATCATGGGCTGAGTCTGATAGGAAAGGAAACAGCCCTATGAGCATTCCCAAAATCCTGCAGGTGCTTTTCTTGCCTGTCACAATCTCACAGAACTCAAACTCAAGCTGCGATGGAGTTGGGGAATACAAGACTTGCTGGACTCCTCCTCATTCAAGCCTGGGTGTTCTGACCTTGTGTTCAGGGTGGTGGTGCTCCTCCTCCACAAAGATGGAGGAGACCTTTGGATGCCTTGTAATCTCCAAGGCATGCAAGCTGAGGGTTTTAGTCACCATCTTCAGAAACAGCAGCGCTGTGAAAGCAACTTGATGCTGAAATGCATCCTGAGCAAGGAGAAATCAAGGTGGGAAGGGAAGGGATGAGTCAAGCAAAGTAAAAAAGAGGGAAGCACAGGATGGAAAAAGAAAATAAAATAGAAAATTAAAGTAAGTAGGAAGGGAAAAGGGGTGGGAAGCGTATTTCTGAGGAGCTGCGTGCAGGGATGGCCGAGTGCCAGCCCCAAACTCCTGTGCCCATGGGACCTGCTGGAGGAACGGCGGCTCCGAGGAGTGGCGGGACCGGACAGGTCACGGACAATGGCCGGTGGGACAGAGCTGGAATGAGCGACGGTGACACACAACGAGGGAGGTGGCAGCTGCCATTGATACATACCGGGATTGAACTGCGGGTTATGCTCATAAATCTAACTGCAATTAGTACGGGCTTCTGGATTAGAGAGGAGATGAAAAGGAAAGCAGAAGGTTAGAGTGCACATGCCGCCGCCCCTCCAAACCCCTTTGCTCAGTCTGAGGTGTTTTTGGTTAACTGAGATGAGTGGGGCAGCTCTGCAGCATCAGCTACTCAATCTTGGGCAGCCCCTGCTTGGATTTCATCCCCAAAAAGCAGAAGCAACGTGACCCTGAGGATCACGGGGGCAGGTCCAAGCAGAGGGGCCCGCTTGCCTCCTCAGCCCAAGCCTGTGCTGACGGTGCTGCACCAGGTCCGTCCCTCTCCCGCAGCCCAACAAGCCAAGCACAGGTGCATCCACAGCCTGCCGGCCCTCTGCAAGCATGGAAGCTCAATGAGATGGGTTTGAGGCTCCCAAAAAGGCAGTGCAGGAGCAGAGAGAGCCTTTGGGGAGCTCATTTTGGGTTCAGATAATGCAACTGAGCACGAAAAACAACGGTCCAGGTCACCCATGGGGTGATGCTGAGCTGCTCACTGAAAGGTCTGAATCAACTCAGGACCAAACAAAATCACATGAAGGTGGAAATGCTGGCCAGGAACATTTGAGCAGGAGTGACAATGTTTCCATGGACTATTCCCACCTCCTCGTGCTTTGGTATGACTCCCCGCAAAGGTGAAGAGCCACCACGGGGCTGAGGGTCCCTGTCCTGGTGGAGATGTTGTGGGAGTTTGCAAGAGGTTTGGGAGGCTGGGATAAGCAGGAGAAGATAAGGTAGGGTGGCTTCAGGGGTAAGGAGGGGACAGGAGAGGACAGAGAGGGCTTTGGCATCTCACCATAGATCTGCGGATCAAGGAGAGGCGGCTCTTGGCTTTGTTCTCTGCGAACTCCAGGCTGCTGATGTCTTTGAGCCGAGCCTTGTACTTGTTCATCTGCTCCATGACAATTAATTCCACGCAACTAAAGGAGAAAAAACCCAAAAGAAGACAAAATGGGAGGAGGAAGCCATTTGATCTGAGCTGTTGTGTCTTGTCTTGGCTTGTCCTTCAACAGGATTTCCTGGTAGCTTCTCCTTTAATTGCAGCACATCCTCTCATTTTATTACAAGGAAAGGATTATTTGGAAGATCTGCCCTGATGGAAGAGCACAGAGGAGAAAGTCCCAGTTGGAAGACAGAAGATAGTGAGAATTCTCCTAAAAAGAGTGATCATGGGCTAGGGATGGATTGAGGAACAGCCTACAGATATTAAAGATGGCCAAGGATCCCATCAGAGAAATCTATCCCCCTTGGAAGTGGGAGTGGTGGAACTCAAATCTGGAGAAGACAGACTGATTCCAACTCACTTGCACACAGTAACTCTACAGCACCTTGTGCAACTGCGCCGAATATTTAATGTTCTCTGGAGGGTGTTTGGGGAAAAACACAGTCCTTTCCTTGTGATAAAATGAGAGATGTGCTGGAGCTGAAGTGTGAGGGAGAAGCTAAATGAAGTCCTGTTAAAGGACAGGTGTTCCTCCCAGCTGGGTCTCCAAATATGTTCTGGTCTTCAACAATTTTAATACTTACTGGAGGTAAAACCACCCCTTTCAAAAGCCTAGCCCTTCACTGGAGGGTTTTCATTATTGTAATTGACTCCAGTATCTATTTTAACACCCATTTAGTATGAGCCAAACTGAATCTGGCAAGTACTTCACTTTTTCTCTCTAAAACCTTTTCAGTTATGGCAAACACCATAAATAAATCTAAGTATATTAATATTACTATTGCTGCAGACCAAAAAACTCACCTCCTTCAGTAAAAAAAGCCAAAATCAAGTAAGAATCAAGATCTGCTTGCCAAAAAATGAACTACATTAACTATAAAACCATGTCAGCACAAACTCCACCTTTTCCTGCCAGGCAGGAACAGATGCTTATCCACTCTTGGGAATCCTCCATCTCTTAAAAATCCTCATTTAACAACTTCTTGGGGATTGAGAGGATTTCAAATATCTTCATGCAGATGCATAAATTACTATGTGTTTATCCCCTTGTGCCAAAACTGTCAATTTTTGAGCCATTTGACCATCCTAGGGGTTACCAAGATGTGAATGGTGATGTGGTGGTGGAGGTAGCTCACCCAGCCCCAGGCTCTTACGTGGTGGTTTTGCTGATGTCCTGAACACTCTGTAGTGGGTCTGTTGTGTCGGGGCAGCGGAGGATGCAGGGAGCAAACACAATGGCCAAGGCATTGGCTGACATGCGGTTGGTCTCCTCTTGGAGGGCAATCCTGAACAAGTAAGGATTAAGAGAGAAGTCAGATATAGAGGCACCGCCACTGCACCTTTTGCACATGGTCATAGCTGAAGAGAGATGATATTTCTATGGTGCAATCTTGCTTTGAGGGAAAAAGACAAACCTCAAGACATCTCAGATATTCCCAAGGCAACAACCAGCCCTTTCCACCCAAAACCATGTCCCTGCAGTGGTGAGAGGCACCATAGAACTGTAGGAACCACAAGTGACCAGAGCACAGCAGAGGTCACTTATCAACACAACATCCCTTGGAGAAACAGCTCCACAGCCAGCTCCTGGGAGACAGGGTGGATGCAAAAGCCTCAGCTGTTCTTGTGGGAAGGATGCCTGATCATCCTGCCTTTGCCTAAAGCTGCCCAGGCCCAGCATACCTGACCAGGTGGAAGATGAGGCGCTCCAGGGTGCTGAGGTGGGTGCGGGAGAGCTGGTCAATGACCGAGTACACCCCACGCACTGTCTCCTTCCTCTCCTGGAAGCCTGTGGAGAAACCACCAGAATTCAGGGGCAGCTTCAACTTCTTCCTCCTATTTAAAATGGTACTTCTTAACACTTAATTTTACTACTTAACAGATAGAACTTTGGGGCTGAAATTAGCTGAACCATGATGCAAAAGCCACTAAACTGAGACCAAATTGCCTGAGGTTTTGCATAAAAACCCTTTATAACCAAAAAATCAGACTTTTAAACCAGGTAAATGCAATTTGGCAAAATCAGCCGGTTTGGCCTCAAAGAGTAAATGAAAAGTTTGGTACTCAAAGTGGCCACCATTTCCCTCTACCAAGGGAATGGGATAGGGAGGGGAGCTCCTCACCCATCACCCGCAGGAACTCCTCGTAGAGCTCAAAGGTCATGAGGGGGTTGGGCAGATCTCGGAGCCACTGCTTGAACACGCTGGCAATGACGTGGATGTTATAGTCATCTAAATTCACATTATCAATGTCTGGGTTTGGCACCAGATGAAGCAAGAAGGAAAAGAACAAGAGACAATGATCAGTACGAAGCCCAAGGCTGGACAAGGTGACCTTTAAAAGTCCTTCCAACCCAAACTGTTCAATCGTAAAGTATTCTAAGATACAATATGTTTACATGCCTTTAATAGCAACAGCACCTGATTTCAGCTCCACGTGGCAAAATTAGAGAGAAATACACTTTCCAGGGCAAATAACTTCAGGTGCGACTAAGATTTCTTTTCTCATGGATTGCTAGGGTGTAAGTAAGGCAGCACTTTCCCTCAATTAGAATGACTTTTTTCGTGGATTGCTCCCAAAAAACCCATGAGTTGGTGACCTGAGTTATGGCTGCTAATGTGAAATCATTTCTTGCACAGCCTGGAGTCAGGAATGCTGAAACATTCCACCTTCCTCCCATCCAACTTTGCTGCTGCGGAGATTTTCCTCCCCGTGTAGGATCCTTTCCGCTCTCCTCTTACCTGTATCGAGGCCTTGCCGCAGCTCCTTGATCTTGTTGGTGGATCCTGATTTCCTGTAGATGCCCTCGGTGTAGAGGCCGTGCATCTCGATGTAGTTGATGAGCTTCTCCACCAGCAGCGGCACCGCCCGCTCCTCGCTGGTCAGCCGGGACAGCTCCACGCCGAACTGCCGCGGTGAGAGCTCCGGGTCGTGCTGCACAGGAAAGGGCAAAAGGGGACTGAAATCCTGCTGCGATCAAGGCTGCTGCAGCTTTGGATCTGACTATTCAGAGTCCTTCAGCAGGTACAGGAGATGTGTGAGTCTGGTGGAGGACGGGATGGGACACGGGTCTTGTGATGCTAACCCAAAGGCAAAAAGTTCGGATTTTCTTTCTTTAGCCAGCCCCACTGGAGTTACATTCCCAGCCTGGCAGAGCCAACGCAGCTGTGCATGGTCCTCCTCCACGTCCTGCCCCTCTGGTACCATCTCCAGGGATGATTTCACCTCCCAAAGATGCACAAAGCAGAATAGGCAAATCTGAATCTTGGGTGTTTAAATCAACTCGAAGCACTGACAGTTACAAAATACCAGTGAACAAACAAGACGCCAAAAAAAGAACACGAAAAGACCTATCTACACCTGTCAGGAAGGGCCCTTTTGCCAGTTGCAAATGCTCACTGGAGAGTTGATATCTGGTAAATTCAAATGTGAAAGAAGTTCTCCTGTACAGGAGATTTAGGATTTGAAAAGTCAAGAGATCCAATAAAATATTGACACAAATTCTCAGCCCTAGCCAAAGAAAGGTGCGATGCAGCTCTGCCTTCAGCAAAGCAGTGGCTCCCCCCACAGTCACTCCTGCATTATTCTTTCTCCCTCTCAATGTCATCCTTTCATTGATCCTGCAAACCTTAGGAACAGATGTGTGGAAGGTCCCTGTGTTGTTTCTTTCTCATGACTGATGGTTTGTAGCTCCCTGACACTAAGAACAACTCTAAAAACACAAATTCACCAAGCACAAAGGTACTGGAGCCTTCCTAGAGAACTTCTAACTGCCCAGTGCAAAGCTACCCATGAAGACACAGTGAACTTGCTTCCTTGGATGCAGCACAAAAACCTCCTTGTGCAGAGAAATCACAACAAAGAAGGCAGCTCCAAGAATGTCTGAAAAAATCAATCAGAGATCTCAATGAACTTCCCAGATTTTAGAGCACAAACTCTTACAGTAGGCATTCCCAGCTCTTGCAAAAACAGTGCCAGAAAGGAAAGACTGCAGCAGAAGTTCTATATATATATATATTCAAAATACAAATGTATTCACATACACACACATCTTCAATGTATATATTCAGATTTTTCCTTGGGAAAAATGGACTCATGCAACTTTCTGCAGGCTGTCTATTATGGAGGTTGTTCTCCCCTGAGAAACTTGCCAGGGAGCTGATAAAACTTTCCACTCAATATCATGACTCTGTTTCCTATTTAAAACATCCCACCAAATCTTGATGATTCATTGTTAGCTGGGATGACCTGCTGCACTCATTCTTTGTTCCCCATACCCTGAAATCCAGTAAACAATATTCAATTTCCCTCTAAAGAGGGCAGGGAACATCCTCCACCTGCCCTTCCTTGCTCAGCTGTGGCAAGCAAGGACTGTAGAGAAAAAGCCTGTATTTTCAAGAATAACCCCACATTTCCAAATCCTTAAAAGCTACAAAGCTAAGGAAATTCCTATTATTCTGTGTGGTTAAAAGGCAGGGAAAGACACTGCAACATCTGCTGCATGACTGGGCAGATCTACAGTGACTCATCACCACCGCATAATTCCCAAAATATCTACAAAACTCTGGCTGGAGAGACCTCTGGAGACCTCTGGTCTAAGCTCCTGCTGAAAGGGGAATTACTTCCAGCATTCTATCAGGCTTTGCACCTCCAATAATTTTTCTACTTGGGATCATTGTCTCAAGGTATCTAATGAAAGTAAAGCAATGAGAGACATTTACCTTTTTGGAGCACTTGGTTGTGGTTTTAAGACAGCACTTCTTGTGACAAGCATATTTACATACTGCAATGAAGAAAAGGAGTGCTTAATTATCCCAAAAGTCACACTGCTGGAGAAACAGGAATTCATATTGAATTGAGCAGCACTTCTCAGAACCACCAAGTCAAAAGCATGTTGCATTTGCAGTTTCCAGGGGCCAAGTCTGTATTAGATGCACTCACACAAAAATAATGAAGCCTTTAAAATGAATGGTGCCATATTTACATCCATGAAACATTAAACCCTTCCTCCATCCTCCTGACAGATTAACTCAGAGTATAACCCAAGAGAGCTATCAGACACAGATACCCTCAGAGACTGGAAATTGGCACCTCCTTTGCAGTCTTCCTGCACTGGGCCTGAAATGCTCCAGGGCTGATGCTACCAACCTAATCACAGAAATGGAGGAGGGATGATGGAAAAGGTTGATCCATCTCTTGGGTTTATCCAAAAAGAGATGTACCAGGCTTTTCCATCATCCTTCCTCCATTTTCCTGATCTCCCCAAAAAGTCACAGGCCTGGAGGTCAAACAGGCGAAGCCAGTGAGTTTGCCAAGGTCAGGACCCCCACAGGCATCCTAGGACACATTTCCACATCTGACTTTACTGTCCTTCCTACCATGACAATTAAATGTGTCTGACCTTATGAGATGGCCTCATAACCTGATGGGATAAGATATGTAACACAAAGTTGATTAACTGCCAGGAACGACTGCTGAGGTGGACTTACAGGTTGACTTCAGAAAACTTAAGACCTGTGTGTAAAGTTCTTCAGGTGTTACAAAAATCAAAATTATTTGAGCATGGGGTTGCAGGAAACAGCAGTAAACACATTTCAAAATCCCCAAACTCATCCCTGTCATAGAAGCACAAGAAAAGGATCAAAGAAAGGGTACTTACATTTACAAACAGAAGCCCTGTCCATGATCCAGATCAAGGAGGAACAATATTCACAGTATGTGGGGATGCTGTATTGGGTTGCCTTGAAAATGTGACCATTGTGCTCTTCCACCTGGAGGATAAAAGGTTGGGTGGTGAGAAAAGGGAGCTAGTGCTCAGACTGCTGCAAAATGGAGAGATGAACACAGACAGCTCTTCAACTTTAGATCCTGCTTTTATTTGGTATTTTTATTTCTTTTTCAGCCCAGAGAACCCAAACCAACATCCATCTTGTAGGGGAACTGAACCATCATGGAAGCAGGTTGGAAACTCTTTGACTGAGCTTGGCAGGTCAACTTCTTTATGTTAAGAAGGTTTTCTATCCATCTGTGGCCCTTTCTTTTGGCTCTGCACCTGCACCCTTCCTAGTACCATCATGTCCCTTAGGAAAACAGGAGATGCAATGTCCTCCATATCTGATCCCGCAGATGTAAAAGACATACTGTAAACTTATGCAGAAAGTTGGAGCAAGACTTTGTTTTCCTCTTAGCCCTTTTCTAACAACCCTCAGCATTACATTTATGTCTTGGTTGATGAGGGATGTGTTTTGAGAGCCAACCCAAGTGATTCTTGATCAAGCAAAGCAAATCCACCTCGAATGTCTTTCTAACATGTCCTTTCAGATCTGGTGTTCAGATCTCAGCCCAGGATGTGTCACAAGCTGATCTCTTGGCATTCTGTCCCCAAGGACATTGATTTTTTAATGTGCAGGCTTAACTCACCACATCCGCTTCCTTTTTCCTTCTCTTCTTTCGTTCCGTTTTTGGCATCTGGTGAGGGAAAGAGATTTAACTCAATTTTTGGGCAATTTTGCCAGGTAAGGAGTACAGAGGGCTCATAGATGACATTGTCCAGTGCCTTCCAGCCCCATCCTCCAGTGCACATGCAGCCTCAGAAGAGTCACTCCAGAAAACTGTCGTATGGATCACTCCAGTTTTGGAATTTCCCTGGACAACTTTTCCTATTTTCATCTTGGAGCTGGGAGTAGCTCTGCTGCTTTAGCTCTGACCCCACCAGCAGTGACCCAAGGAAAACATGATGCTCGGCCTGCTCTGAAGAAAACCTGCCTGGAGAGGAGGCTGGAGAGGACTTGGAGCAGAAGAGGCAGGAGATAGGATATTTGTACAATAGACACCATTTCTACAATAGACACCATCTCCCAAGCCCAGCCTCAGATCCTGTGGTTGGCCTTGCAGACAATATTGAGCAGGAAGTGAGATCAGGTCTGTGACACAGGCCAGGCTCTTTCTGCTCTAAGAATGGTACCTAGACCTGAGCCACTGGCCATGTCTCCTTCTCCTGCAACCCAACCCATGGTGATGTGTCTGCTCACTTGGGAAGTGGTCAGGAGACCTGAGAGGGTCTTTCAGCATCCCTCAACGTTTGAACAAATCTCCCAGAACTAAAGAAGCACCAGGAGCTGCCTTTCCAGCCATGCACAGTTGGTTGCAGCTTTGCCCTGGAGATAACACCTAGTCCTTGGCAGCCCAGTGTGATCTGGGGCTGGCTGAGCCCAGTGACACACAACCAGTGAGTCACACCTTGCCTTGTCCAGCTCAGCTTAAAGCAGAGAAGACAACAGAAGGTCCCAGGTGTCTACAGAGGCACAACCCCATGGAAATATTGTTCCCAAACCCTCAAGTAGTTTAAGAAAAGTGCTGAGTACCTTCCCTGCGGTGTAGTCCAGGGGTTTGTACTCTATCATATATTCATCCAGGAAGACTTTGAAGGTATTGACCCAGACTTTAACTGGAGACTCACTCCAGTCCCTCTGCTCAAGCCTCATGGTCTTCTCCAGAATCTGCTCGAATAAGGCGTAGAGGTCCTTGTAGCGGATGCTCTTCCCATCGTCCATCTTTTAAGGAAACAGAAGCAAAAAGAAAAGTGATTTTTATGCAGCCCAGATTTTTCTAGACACTTTTTCTTCTCTAGACAATTATTTCAGTCTCACCAGCTTTCAGCTGCTTGGAGAAACTCCAAGTATGATAAAGAGAAGGAAGAAAGGATCAGACATCTCCACCACCAGAAAAAGTAACACAAAGGTTTCCAGGCACTTTGGGTGATAAATTGGAGTTTATTGATTTTCTGTCATCTCTCCTTTGGCTGGGAGCAAAGCTGTAATGAGGATCAGGAACCTACACCCAATGTATCCCAAGAGATGGCTCATGAGGAAGAGTTAGTCCAAATTTAGATCATCATCCTTTGGGATGAGCAAACCAGGGCATAGCAACACCTGTACCACCAGGAGCATCTAGAATATCCCCTTTCTCCAGGAGATGGAAGTCCTACTCATCATCTGGTCACTTACTGCCAATGCTGAGGAGTAAAAACTGAAGATGTTTTGTCGGAATTCCTTCAGTGCTTTCTTGAACACAACATCCACCAGCGTGTCCTTCTTGCTGTCCTCATTGTCCAGTTCATTCATCTGAGAAAACAAGGAGGTTTTTACACCCATTACTCTTTTGCTGCAGCAGAGCTGGTGTGAGATGAAGCAGCACTAAGAAGCAGCTGCTCCACCATGATGACCAGGTGATTTCCCCTGCATGAGAACCAGAAACTTCTCTAGCCCTGCCCTGGCACCCTTAGATGAAATTATTAGCATTACTACAGCTACCCACAGGATCATTTTACTTTATTGCCTTTGTCTGCTCCTGGATCTCTGTGCTGATTTATGCAGCAGTAAGGCAGGAGTCACCTTTTTCAGGAGGAACTCATCCATGCTCTTGAGGTCGCTGGTGCTGGTTATGATCTGCAGGGAGTCGTTCTGCCACTGCACGGGTTCTAGAGCCACATTGCTGATCTTGACGCTGCGCTTGCGCTTCACCTTGGGAGAGGGCTCCTTGTTCTCCTTGAATTCCCGCCGGTAGATGCCCGACAGCTCAGGACTCCGTGGGGGCGTCAGGTGATGAGGACCCAGGTCTGCTGGTGATAAATGAAAAGATGGAAAGAGATTGAGGAGCAGATGAAAAATAATTGTGACACTAAAACAGGGATATGGGCATTGGAAGAAACCTGTGGAGGAGAAAAGCACAGTGTAGAACTCACAGGAAAATTAAACGTTGTTTCTGCTTTGGTTATTTCCTTCCTCAAGAGAGGAAACATCTGTCCATGTCCAGATGGTGGCTGGAAGGATTAGCGACGTGGAATTCCTTGAGATCCATTACAGATCCCACCCTCTAACCTACTTGCCATTGCTCTGGCTTGACACCATTCATGAATTAAGAAACATAGACCAGCATGGAAATATCCCAATTTCCAATTCAGTTTCTTTCTCCTTACAACTAGTCCCATGTCCCCTCACCACGTACCTTCACCAAGCTGCAATCCAGGAATGGCCTCCCTGCCAGGGGCTTCCTGCTCTGCATACAGCTCCAGCAGCTCGGACTGGGTAGCAAGCTTCTCCCGGTGGGTCTTCTTCTCCCCCTGCTTTCCCTTCACCCAAAACCTCATCTTGGCTCGTTGAGGCCTGGAAGTAAGTAATGGAAAGAACTGCTTTAACTAGGAAAGGTCTTCCTACCCAAAACTCTCAATCTTCTGGACATTCCTGAGGAGATAAATCCACTCAAGTTCTACCAGGCAAACGTGGCTACTCATCCTCAGCAAAGGATGGAAACTTCAGTTTCATGCATGGGATTGGGTGGTTTGGGACAGGATGTTTGGCCCATGTCACCAAAACTTAATTGTGGTGTGAGCCACACCACACACACTGATTGGGCCGCCCATGGTCACGTAGAAAAGGTGGGATGGGTAATTCATGCTGCAGGTGGGGCTCCAAAGGAGCCTGGGTGGCTCAACAAGGTGTTGGAGAGCAAGAGGGACACAGGAAGGCCTTGTCTGCCATCTCCAGCCATGATTCCTACCTCCCATCTGGAGTCAGACTCTTCTGTGTGGCTGCCAGCTTCCCAATCTCCCCTTGGGACATGGTTTTGTGCAGTTTGGCCTGGCCTTCCCCAGAGGTGAATCGCTGCACGGTCTGTAACGATTCCAAGCATGAAGCATTTAAAAATAAGACAGCTCTTGGGATATCAGATGGGTTTTTTTTTCCCTAACAAATATCAGCTATTTCATCTCCTACATCTTTATTTCTATTTGCCTACAGGTAAAAACCTACAGTCTTGGTGAGTCTAGAAAAATATTTAAATTACTCCTAATAAAGAGAGGCATTTCCCTTGCTCCAAGTCTCCAACCAGGTCCAACCTTCTTCCTCCTTGAGCAATCAGTGATGAAAATTAGTTTGCACCAAGCCACGGGTCCTTATTGATCAGCCTGCACAGCTCTTCCACCACCTTCATCCAGACATTCCAGGTCTCCATCCAGAGTGTCCCGTTAGCCACAATGACGTGATTCCCCAGGGGAACCTTCAACCACCTGGATCTGTCCCAGCAGAAGTTCCTCCTCCAACTCTTACTGAGCACTTTATACAAAAAGAGACCAAAGTCTTTGTGCCAAGGACACACCAAAAGGAATCCTTTAACGAAGAAATTTTGCAGCTTTAGTAGAAAATATCTCCACCTTTGCCACCATTTAAAATGCCCTCAGATAATTATTAAGGGTGGGATGAAATCACAGTAACTCAACCTAACAGGATCCCATGAAGTAGCCCAGGAATAGACTTGCCATATTTAAAAAACATATCAATTTTTGTTATATTTTCCAATTGCAGTTGTGATTTGGGAACTGGACTCCTGAAGGAGAAACTTTCAGCATAAGAAAAGTGGAGAATCAGGTTGTATGAAAGGATTTGGGAGACGATGATCAATTATCTCCTGTAGCTTTCCTATCACCTCTCAACTGAATGCTCTATGTTTTAAAGCAATTATTTTACTTCTGTTAAAAATATTTAAATAAAATTTTATAAAAAGTAGGCTGTAGGGAGGGTCACATTTGCTGTATTTCCTGTTTTTCCATGTTCTATTCCCCCTCAGCCAGACTAACATCTCTTCCAGCCAGGAGATGGCAGCATGCAAGGCAAAATTACCACTGGGAAAGTCAGGAACTGCCTAAACCATGAAAGAGATTTTGTTCCTGTCATTCTTACATTTAGGTGATGATCACATAGCAATTATGGATGGGTACTGAGATAAAAGCAATTCAAAACCTATAAAAGTGATCTCCATCCAGCCCAAACCTACTACTTGTTTTAAAAATCATCTGTTAAATATTTGCCCCCACAGTATGGTTTTGTTCTTGAGTAATTTCAACCTTTTGAGTTTCCAGCTTTAGTAAATAAAGACTAAAGGGCAGTTTTTGGCACAAAATCCTTCTGTTTGAGGTTATCTGCCAGGAAACTCTCAATGGAAAGGATGGGAAACATTCTCAGATGTCAGGATGAGCATCTGCACCAGAAAATCCCCCCCTAAGGAACACCACAAAGCATCATGAGGGCAATGGCAATAACTGGGGGTCTGAAGTTGTCTCCTGGTTGAGGAAGGGATCAAGTATTTTTCCTCTGACAGCGTAACATGTGTTTCACCCACCCATAAGGTAACTATGGCCAAAGGACTCATCCCAGCAAGCAGCAGTGCTGTGTGCTGCATGGAAAAACTTCCTGAAGCTCCCTCTGAAAGGAATTAGGACAACAGATCTTCTTTCATTGCCGGCTCTTCAGCTGTACTTGGGATCAGCTGGTGGCAGATACTTGGACTCATGTTTGTCAATTCATGGCTTTAGTGTGGAGGGTGGAGCAAAATGACCGGTTCATTATCCGGGTCCCATTCTCTAAGGACGCTTCCAGAGGGTATTTCTGATGTGATTCCTCTAGCCAAGGCTTTCCATTTATGCAGCTGCTGCAGGAAAGCTGAAGAGCTTAGGTGCCAAGCAAAAGTGGTGCTAACATGTGCTGGCAGAACAGCCAGGAGCTGTTTCTCCCACTTGTGCCTCACTGCAAGGTAGATTAATCCTTGGCTATTCACCAGCCAAAAATCTTGAATCTTGGTCTTGCCAGGAAGCCCTTAATCCTTAAAGAACCTTGGAGTCAACTGTCCCTGCAGCCACCTCACGCACACGGTGCCCCATGGGCTTCAGCTCCAGCTGCAGATGCTCTGGGTGTTTGATGCTCTGGGATACCCTGAACGTGGGTCAGGAGCATTGGATTCCAGTGGGCCTCTACTCAGCAGCTGGGGTACACAATCAGTGACTTGATGGCCAAGAAACAAATGGGCAAAACAGGCAGTGCAGCTGGTGACCCATCATATGCTCGGCTCCATGGGGCTGCACGCGATCTCTCGTTCATCCGGCCAGCAGCCTCGGCTGCTGAGCAGGACATGGGAAGAGGCTGTTTTGGGAAGTTGTAGCTGGAGGCAGGAGCTGTCTGAAGGAGCTATTCACTGGCACAGGAACCAGCCTGCACATGGTGGCTGCCAGGCTCGCCTTCATGTGACTGTCACAAGACACAAACAATGTGTCTGCACAGACATCAACCTCTGTACCGTTGTGTCTGTACCCAAAACACCCCATGAGGCACCATCCAGCTTTATCACGGGCTGCTCTGCCATCTGTAACACTCAACTGGGCTCTGTTAAATATGAATAAACAGTCCCTAAATTTTGCTACTTGTGATGATCCTGACCCAAAAAAGCCCCAAGCCAAAGGGCTGGTCCCAAACCTGCAATACAAAATACAGATGGAAACACTGGACACATTGTCAGGACACACATGGAGGGTAGCGTAGAGCACACAGCGCCAGGGATAGTGTTGGCCTAGAAAGCAGAACTTACCACACCAGGGGTGAAAGTCCTGACCACCAGTTAGAACCAGTGCTGGAGAGCAGAGGAGAGGAGGGACACAGCAGAGACAGGAGAGAGGTGGCACCTACTGCTACTCGCATGCGGTGAGAGCTGTTAAACCAGGTGAGCAGAGTCCCAAGGAGCACTTCCAAGGAGTACAGTGACCCAGGATGCTCCCAAAGATGGAGCTTGTCAAGCACCAGCACAGCACTTTTCACACCCCAGAGAGAATGATTCCTACAGCTACAATTCCCTTGGTACGTGGGCAGCCTCCAGGAGCACAGCAAGGCACTCCAGGTATGGCATGGGGGGGCATGGTTTGGTGGTGAACAGGGTGGTGCTGGGTTTGTGGTTGGACTCAACGATCTCAGAGATCTCTTCCAACCTAAATGTTCCTATGATTCTATGTAAAAAAGTACATTTTTTTGCATAAAATTCTCCCTTTCCCAATCCACAAGCAGGGATTGCATAACGGTGCAGCCAGGTTATCTCAGCCCATAGAGATGGATCTTTCAATCAGGTTTTGAGTATTCCTGCCTCAAACCCCCAGCAAATTTATCAAGAGCAGGTTTAAAAAATGTGTGGAATTTGTAAACTCTGCCCTCTTCCAGTGAGGAAATTATCCTGGGAAAAATGATCCTTTATAATAAGAGCTGCTAAAAGAAAAGTCATGAAAAGCCCACCTTGGCCACCTGCCTTTCTTGGAAAAGCAGCTTTTAGGATAGCAAGGGATGTTTGTCAGACACACAGCAATACACTGTGGCACAAAATAAATCTCTGGCTTTGGGTTTCATGCTCTTCTTTGGTTTTATATTCAGCTCCACATCCTGTACTGCAGCTGGAGGAGAGGAACATGGCAGCCCTACCCAGCACTCTACCCAAAGTCTCACAGCAGGACATGATTCCTGGTGTTTATGCACACTCCTATGGGGACATCTCCACTAACTCAGGAAAAAATACGAGCGGGTTGGAATCTGTTGGCCTCTTCCACTCCTGAAACCTCTTGGTTTGTGATTTTCCAAAAGCAGCTTATGTGGGTGGGAGATTAAGCCTGAGATGCAAAAGCTGCACTGCGCTGGCTCATGTTGGACCTGCTAAGGGATACTTGTCACTGTGCTTGGAAAAAACACTTTGGTTGGTTGTCTTTGTTTCAAACCCACTATTTCACTCTCACTATGTTTTCATTGCCCAATTTCCATGGTTTTGCTTTTTCTGACCTGCTGTCTACCAGCATCACTCTGATAATTGACCAAGTAATCATTGGAATTGTGGCTAAACATAAAAAAATCAAAAGCAAAAGAAGCCTCAGGATTTACATAATTTGGTTGTCTGTTGCTTTTTGAACAATATTTACTTTCTTTTTTTACAGCTGTATATAGGCCATTTTTAGATAAAAAGGTTCCAAGGGCAGGATGAGGTTAAAGCCCCCAAAAGAGGTAATTGTGCAATACAAGTTGTAATGCTCCAGGAAAACTATGGGAAGTGTGGTAGATAGCTAACCAACCAAGGAGCAAGAAATAGAGCTTGGATGGAGCACTGAGCACCCTGGTCTAGTGGAAGGTGTCCCTGCCCATGGCAGGGGGTTGGAATTGAGATTTAGTCTCTATCAATCCAAACTATTCTGTGATTCTGTGATTCCATGATTTTGCCTCTGTTTCTGCTGTGTTTGCCAAATGTACCCATCTACAGCATCCTTGGGAGTGGGAAAAGAAGCAGTGGAGGGATCAGTGCAGCTAAGGTTAGCAAAGAAAGGCTCCCGCAGCTCCGCTTTCACTTCCCCACCACACTGGACACAATTACCATTTCGGAGTCACTGTAACAGGCCTGCCCCAGGCGGGCTGCGGGCACCACCTCTGCGTGAGGAGGGTGCTCAGAGGAGAGAAGGAACTCAAAACTGCCATCGTAATCCTCTTCCTCCGTATCCCCCTCCCCATCAGCAAAAGTACCTCTAGTCAAGAAATCGGAGCGCGTCCGCGCCATGCGGGCTTTCTTTTTATGGCTCGGTCTGGGCACCTGCTTGACCAAAGGATAAAACAAAACAAAACAAAACGAAAAGAAGGGTTTTAAAGTAAAAAGGAGATTCTACTCGTGTAGCCTTAAGACATCTCTGAGTGCCACTGCACCCCATGGAGGGGATGCAGTACTATGTCTAGTGAAAACAGCAAAGGACCAGGAAGAACAAAAACTAAGACAGGACAGTGAAAATGGACAATCATGGGTGTCACTCAAACAGAGACGTTAAACCAAACCAAGACAAGACGGCGTTGGACAGTGTTTGCCATTAGGATCACGGGATCCTTTTATCCAGAGTTGCTACAAATTATTCCTACAGGGCTTTTTATTTTAAGAGAAGGTGTGGAGGTTACTGTGCTGTCATACCCCCCATCCCATGTCTAGCAGCTCTCGTGCTTCAGAGTTCACTTCTTTGAAGCTTTTGAGGGAAAACTGGCCAACTAAGTTATTCTTCCCCCTTTTCAATGGACAGAGAAAACAAACAAGTAATGACTCACCTCGCCTCTGCCAGACCCCGGCATCTTAAATGGCTTCCGTGCTATTTCCCCCTTGGAAAGGCACTGATGATTTGCCTCTCTGCTGAAACACAACAGAACAGAGATCTTTCATCCTCTCCCAAAAGCCTTCCCACCACACTAGCCCAGATCCTGGGAGTCCAAGCAGTCAAGACTAAATTTTAAGTCTGAGGTCATGGGTTTCAGAATTGCTTGGAATTCTTCAGGACTGGACTTAATACCACAAGACAATAGGAGAAAACCTTCTGCCTGTCAACTTTATACAGCAAGGTGGTTATGGATTGTATCTTTGTTCTTTGGGATTCTCAAATGTGACTGTTCTGTTGCAGAGCAAAAATTAAAATACAGCAATTCTTAATGTCTTTTTCTTCCTGTTGCTTGTTCATATTGTGCATGAACCAGGAAAAGAAATTTTCAACAGAAATCTTCTCCCATCACAATGGCACAGAGACCACAAGACTACTACACTTGGAGGTACCTTGAGTTACCAAGTCATTCACTGGGAGCTTTTGCCTTGGAAAGGGTGCAGCAGGATTTAGGAGGGGGGTGATTTATATCCTTTTTAAGTTACATGGCCAAAACCACCCCAAAATTAGGCAAGGCACCTTTAAGCAACACAACAGAGTGGGAGCAAACATTGTCCAAAGATCTTGCTGCCATCTCCAAACTGGAGCAGCCCAAGGATAAGCAACATGATGGAGCTGAGGAACTGCTAAGTCTATTACAGGAGTAATTAATTACATATGTGAATGATACAGACTCCAAAGAGCATTCACTCCCAAACTCTCTCTGGAGAGCTGGTGTTTTTCATCGGCAATAGTCAGTGTCCCCATGGCTTTGCTGGATTAGTTATATGGTAAGCAAGGAAAATCCTGTAATTTTCTGCCTCATCAAGTCATTTCTATTCCAACTACCCAATAATCCTAAGAACTTATTAATCATGTTTCACCTTGAGAAATAAACTCCTATCCCCGTTCATGTAGGGTAAATAATAACAGTATTGAGCCTGTTTATTGACTCTCTTCACCTGCTTATGTCCATAATTATCTCCCTGGATTATATAATGTTGTAAGAGACTGAGAAATCATATTCCAGGTCTTTTTTTTTCCTTTCCCTCTGACCTCCTCATTGCTAGAAGATCAAGAACCCTTTGTTTAACTATGAGGTTTGTGCAGACTCCAGAAACCGAGAGTAGCCAAAAAAGATTAGACTAGACTCCAGAAACTCTCTAGGCAAAGAGAGAGCCCATGGAGAAAGCCTATGGAGACATCCTGTGGAGAAAGCCTATGGAGAAAGCATAGGGGAAAGCCCACCATCTCTTTACTCACTGGAGGCCAAAGGGATTGTCTTTTGGTGTGAAGAACATGGAGCTTGCCCTCGTCTCCTCAGTGGCCTGGTTGGGCATCCGAGGTTGCCGGAGGCGCTCTGTCCTTGAGAAATGGCTGCCTGGGTGGTCCTTGGGGTCCAGAGCTGGTTTGGAATGGCAGCGGGGTTCTAGACCTTCTCTTCGCTCCACGAACATGCTGACAGGTCTGTCTTTGGGGGCACTGTGGGCTGGAGAGCTTCCCCTGGTCCCAACAGTGAGACCCTTGATGTCCACTGCTGAGGTTGGAGCCATGCCTGGGGTGGGGCTATGCTCCCCTCTGCTCTGGGGATGCAGGATGAAGACTGACTGAGGCCGGTTGTCTGTTTTTTTGGCTGGTTTGAGGGAAGGGTCCTTCACTCCGCCCTGCTCTGTCCTCTGCAAAGCCTCTACCCTCCCTTGCTGCTCGAAGGCTTTGCGTTGTTTCTCCAGAATTTCCTTCTGCTGGCGAATCTGCTCCATCATCTCCCTCTCATTTTGCAGCTGAAGCTGCTTTTGCCGTTCCTCCTTCTCCACATTGAGTTTTTCCAGTCTCTTAATGACAGAACCTGGAGAAAGGGCCCGTGCTGCTGTCACTGTCCCACGTTCCTCTCTCTTGGTAGAGGGTTTATCCTTTTCCTCCTCTTCTCCCAAGGCTTTACCCTGATCTGGATCAGAGTCCTTCCTGACCTCAGAGAACATAACTGTCCTTTCCTCTCTTTCCACTGCTTTATTCCTTAGGTTATTCTCCACCATCTTCACCTTCACATTGTCTTGTGGTGGAATGTAGAAAGTGGGGAGATTGCTAGAAAGGAGTGTTTCTCTTGGGTGAGTCTTTATAACATTCTGGGGGTCACTGACCCCACACTCCTTCCTGGTGAGGTTATCAGGCAGCACCACGTCTGCTGGGGTCTGTCTGCAGCTGGGCAAGTCTTTGTTCACATCCGCTGCACAGAAAGGCTCCTCCTGCAGCTGAGCCTGGGGACTGCTGGGCAGGGAGTCCATGGAAAATGACTGCGTATCATGCTCATCTAAGACTAAAGAAATAAGTTTGCTACTTGAGGTATCTTCATTGCTTAACAACTCGAAGCTCCCTTGAGAGCTCTCGCTCTCCGGGGTTCCCTGAGGGGAATGCAGTGCCTCGGACACCAGCTCGGTGGGCCAGCGCTGCTCTTCCGAAGGTGACAGCCCACCCGTGGAGCGGACCTTGAGCAGCTCCAAGCTGAATTTCGCCTGCTCCAGTTCCCGCATCCTCCGGCTTTCCCTCTTTGCACGAACCACTTTTTTCTGGTTGAGATCCTCCAGTGACTTGGGCCTCTCTCTCACGATGATCTCCTCCTCGGTGTCCATCCCGCTGTGGCTGCTGGCTCTCTCATGCCTTTTGTACACGGAAGTATCCAGTGGGTCCATGTGATTCACCCGGTTATTCTCCATCAGTGATCTATGTTGTTCCACAGCTCTCACTCGCTCTTCAAATGAGCTGTCCTCCCACTTAGATGGGTCAGAGCCCTTAATTTCCAAACCATCTGCTTCCAGTCCATCCTCTTCTCTCCCTGCCAGGCCATTCTCCAGCTGCATCTCTTTTAACTGGTGCTCTTTCAAAGCTCTAAACCTGGAAGAAAGCAGAAAACCAGGATATTCAGCCCTGCATCCACTCAGGACCCTTCCAGGCACTGCACTAGTGGTGTCTTATCACCACCACCACCATCACCACCACCACCATCTCAAGAACCCTCCTTGCACATCTGGAGCAAGAAAAGGCAAGGCACATTCGGTTTTAAACCTTCTCCTCCTCTGCCATCTCTGCTACCAAAGGGCTGCCCCAACGCACCTGAAAGCTCCCCTCGTGCTGACAGCAGCAGGTCCAGCCTCCATCCCTGGTCTAGCTCCTTCATAAGCTGTCAGAGCCAGAAAAGCTTAACCCATCACACCCCCCTGGCTTCTCCATCTTCGCCATCCTCCTGGACTGCGTCTGGAACAACTTAGCAGGGACTTGTGCCCGGCACCAAGAGCTTTCTGCAGCTCCCAAATGCTCCAAGCGATGTTAAGGTGCTCCACACCTTGCAGGCAGCACCTCTGGAGAGTGAATTGTGACCTGCCTCCCGGCCAGCGAGCCAAGGCATGGCTGGAAAGCCTGTGCCCTCCACAGCGGCTGGCTCCGGTATCCCTCGTCCTTGTGAGCCAGTGCAGCAACCAGATTGGTGAGGCAATCTGAGTTAAAAATAGGCTACTTAAACTGGTACTGCTGCCAAGAGGGAAAAAAAAACCCTTGCGAGTATTTACGGCCTTGGCTTTGCACTGCCTACGTGCTCCAACCTGAAATAGGCTCTGCTTATTCCAAGAGCAGGACGTGCAGCTAAATTGTTAGAAAGCGTGGGCAAACAAAGGACCAGGGCAGGTCAGGAGAGGGTCATGGAGGGGACACTGCCCTGTGTCAGTCACTGTAGTGCCCTGATTCACACCAACCACCTTCCTCCCCGCCATGAGCATCACCAAAACACGTTCCTCTTTACCCGAGGCCAAGGGCGTTACCTTTGCCGTGCCAAATAGCCCCGGCACGCCGCCTGCAGGCACACGGCCCTGCTCCTGCGGGCTGCGTACGCCTGCCGGCTGCGGTGTCCCCGCCAGGCTGCCTGGATGCTGGTGGCTGCGGCGTGCCGGCGCCTGGCGTGCTCCCGCCAGCAGCTCTGGATGAGATGGGCTGCAAACTGCATCTGCAGGAACCTCCGCCGCTCCACGAAGCCTCGCCAGTGGCTCTGAAGGATGACAGCGGCTTTGTTGAGAACTAGAGGGTCTGGGGATGGTTTGCCTTTTTTTTGGCTTCGGTAGCTTCGCCAAAATCTCTGCAAACACAGCAGGGGATTCCTTGTAACAGGTGTTGTGTGAAGACAGGGCAGCACCTGCCTTCGTGCAACCTCTCCAGCTCCCCACCATTCCCAATTTATTATGGCAGGAGTCAATCCTGATTGCAAGCTCCTTCCTTGGACAGGAGAGCTGATTTTACCCACAGGCTCCGTCTGTAGGATTTGGGGATGGTAATTTGCACTGGAACCCAGCACCAGCACCCACCTGTATGCTGACGGCCGCGTGCCGCAGGCTCAGGAACTGCCTCCTGCAGAGCAGGCTGCGGAACCAGCGCTGCAGCAGTGTGATCCTCCGCAGCACCTCCTGGTGCAGCAGGTCCTGCAGAAGCTGCCGCTCCCGTTCCTTCATGAATACCTGGCCAAAATAACCCAAAAATCACAAGCATGGAAAGCTTCCCAGACCACCGGTCAAATGATTTAATCCTCCTGGTTTCTGCGTCCTGGATGCTCCCAGTAAAGTCGAGGAGCTGATTTTTGTGAAGGCACCTCTGACAGGTTTCAGCAGTTTCACAACAATCTGTGACTGTCTAAGCTCTGAATTAGAGAGCTTTCTCATGGGGAGGGGGGAAATGAAGACCATTGTATCAAGGTAAGTCTACACACACACAGAGAGATTTTGGAGGACATGAGTTTTTTGAGACTGCTTCATTACAATCAATAACAAAACAATATAATTCCTTACTCTTTTATGTTAATAATATTAGAAGTTTCATTTAAATCACTGACTTTTGGTAAACAGAAGAAAAATAGTTTCATTAATTAAAACCATATGTAGATATTAATTTATCAGACAGAAATGCAGGTAAATATTATATCTGTGTCTTAAAGCATGAGCTAAGGATGAACATTTACCATTGTTCTTCCAACTTGGTAATTGTCTGGATCGAGTTTTATCTTCTGGAAGAAATCATGGATATTGTGCTTAGATGGGCTGATCCCTTGTGGCAAAAGAACATGGAAATGGTTCACAAAATCCTGAGAAGAAAAAGAAAAAAAGCAACAGCAAGATTTGGTTAGTTGGGTCCTGCTTTGCTCCACCGGCCACATGAAATGGGACCTCTGGAGTGAGCAGAAGGACAGATAACATATTATGCACTGAGAAACACCAAGATTCATCCAACTTTTGTGGCTTGATGGGAAAGACATCAAAGCAGGGACCCAACAAGGTTAAAACATTTTTCAGCGTGGGAGAAGAGGTTCTGCAGGAGCCACAGGGTCATCATGAGCAAAAAAATGCTCCAAATCCCCAGCAAGGGCCACTGCGGAAGGCAGATATCAACATCTGCAAAACATCCTTAAGATGCTCCAGCCATTAATGCTGGGAGGATTCAAAGAGTGAAGGAGGTACGAGAGGATAGATCCTCCCAAGCAAGGCTGGGCTCCCTGCTCATGGCAAAAAAATGCTGAGCATTTTTCTTTTTCTAAACAGCTGCTGTGCAGACACACAATGTCTGCCCCAAAGCAGCCACAAGCAGGAAACCAATCAGCACCAGCAAAGCATGAAAGGACTGACATGTACACAAAACCTGGCAAACATATGGAAAAGAAGAAAACAGGAAAAGCTGGCTAACTTCAGCAGTTCAGAGGATGCGTATCATCCTCCTGATGGGACACAGTCAACATGACAGGGCAAACACTGCTCCCAGTAATTCCAGATGCAGAAGAGAACGTGCAAATCAGTTTTAAGCAAAAGGGATCCATGTTGCAAAAAAATACAGGTTTTGTTCAAAAATCATGGTGCAGGGTGCTAGCAGCCCACCCTGAGGTCTAGATTGCCTCATAGGCAGAGAACAACCTGTTACATCCACTGCCTTCCAAGAGCTAGAAATTAATTACCCTGATAAAACAATGAAGCAGCAACACTCAGACAACTCTGCTAATGATGCTGAAGGTGATGGAAGACAAAGCCCTTTGTACTCAACCTGGAAGGAGTATTTGCAGCTGTATCCTGACTGGCGGATGCGCACGGTCTCCAGCATCCCCGTGTAGCGCAGCTGCCGGAGCACCAGGCTGTCGTTGAACCGCAGGGGCAGCTGCAAGGGGAAAACCAGACCAAGGATGAGCAAATATTTCCTTTCACTGAAGCTTTTAAGTGCATGGATGGGTGAAGGGTTCAGCAGATGTAGCACATGTGCACGACACACACATTGTCAGCAATGCTGCAGGAAGGAGGGAATGTGGGTCCCCAGGAACCGAACTAATCCCACTGGGACTGAATCCTGTTTGCTTCTGAGACTTTCAAACAGCTAACTAGAAAAATAAAGCCATAAAAAAAGATTTTTTGAGTTTGAATTGAATAAGACCTCCCAAGGGTACGGTTAACGGGTGAAATTTTGAGCAACTAAATCTCCAATGCAAAAAGCTTCAGCTTTAAATGCCTGGATAAAACTTCGAAGGATTAATCTACAAAGCATCCCTACATTTTGAACAGAGGGTCCTCGGTCCATGACACAATTACATAAAGTCAAATTCAAGAAATATGAGTCAGTGTGATCAATGGAATTTATTCTAAAAGTATCTGCTTTCACTTACTTTATCTTATGGAAGCGTCAGGGTTCAGACCCAGCACAAATAAATTCATGGTTCTATAAATCTCTGTTATGGTTGGTCAGAAGCTTCAAAGGAGTCAAATTCATTTATTAAAGCAAATATATTTTTCATATAAATTAAAATACTATATTTGCATACATGTGTTTCTACAAATATAAGATGAGCCAGTGCAGTTTATCGAGAGTGACACCCAAGTGATAAATCCATGCTTCCCCTTGCCCAAATCTTCTAAATTCAGCTCAATTTGAGGCTTTGTTTCCTATCTAACTCCCTGTAAAAAGGGAAAAAAGATTCCCAAGATGATTTCTAGCAGGATTTAGCTTTCACAGGATGGCATTTACCTTCTCGGCGTTGGATCGGATGCACTTGACAAAATACGGCTCTGCTTGGCCAAGGGTCTCCATCAGTTTGTTGAGGGATGCCTGCAATAGAGGAGAGCCAGGGAAGGGAGAGGAGACCACAGTGGATAATGAAAATCCAAATGTTTAAATTATAAACCAACATAAATTGGAATTAATTTTGAGTAAATGAGAAACATGGGAAATTGTTTTCCCAAATGAGTGTTTTAGCACAAGCAATTTGGCTGATTTTGTCTTTGCCTCCAATGAAGAAACTAAAGAAAAATATAATGCTGGGCTGGATTTTCAGATCTTTGGCTCCCCTGGAACCCAGATTCACATCCACTCCCCAGCACAAGCCTTTTCCAGCCATGAATGGGAACTCCAGGACAAGAATTTACACCTGGCACCAAACAACCACTGTTGTTTTGTTTGTTACGCTCCTACAGTGTTTTTTAAATACAAATCAAATTTTCCTTTATCAAGAGTGACTCCAGGCAGGATTGACTCCTGATTTTTAATTGTGAAAACTTTACTGCTGGCCTAAAAATGAGTTGTTCTTAATGAAAGTTTTGCCAAGGGAAAATCGGGAATTCACAAATATTTTTGAAGCCTGAGACCCTGAACACTTCAGAGTTTGTTTCTAGAGAAGAGTTTCAATGTTGGCATGTTCCTGACTGAAGGATCACTGAGAACTGAGGGATTTCTTGGTTCCATTTCTCTATTTCCCCTTATTTATTCATCCCCATTAAAAGTCTCTCCCACAAAAGTGAATTTACACTGGCATCACTCTACAGCCAGCTGACCCAGTGGGATGTCATGCTGAGCTATCCCTTCACCTTGCAAACCTTTGACTTTTTGGGATGAATCACAAGCTCTTGGAATAAAACCAGGCTGAAAACCAGAGTGTGCTGAGTCCATCACTGCTGGCCAGGCTCCTCAGCCACATTTTTTTGCTTTGTCCTATAAATACTCTGGGTATCTCTAATTGCTGAGCACACTACAAACATGGCATTGGTAAAGTGCTAGAGAGTTGATTACTGCTGGTTTTAATTCAGCTCTTAAAACTCAGCCATGTAAAGGATATTCTGTCACATTTACTATAAGCAGAGCTATAAATTTTGGAATACAGGACTTAATAAACTGGTGTGGTATTACAAAGACGTTTTTTGCTCACAGATTGGCTCACAGGCCTTTTTTTCCTTCTGATCATTTCAAAGACATCTTTATGGGAAGCCTTTCATGTTTAGAAAAACATGAAAATCCTGGATGTTCATTCACATCCAGGATTTTGGAAGGAGCAAGGGATGGATCCCACGCACATGTGATGCAGCTGTGTTATGTACATTAACTTCATGCAAATATCCCTGCTCCTGTCCCAGGGAGCAGCAGGAACGCCATGACGTGGCAGACCTCTGCTGGCATGCTCCTGGTTTTCATAAAATTCTGAAATTACTCATTTTTACACAAAAGAAGCCTATTGGGAGCCTTCAATCAGCAGTGATGCTGCAGCATCCCCCTGTGCCCACACAGGCTAGTGGGAGGGAAAGGGTGCACAAGGGACAAAACTGCTTTGTTGGAAGTCCAGCAAGCAGAGTGCTCCCAGTGCTGGGAATGGTGGGAATGGGATGTGCAGGATCCATAGGAGGGGTCAATTCCATTCCCTCGGGGCCATCCTGTGTGAGGCAGATGGTCCAGGCACCCTCTGCCATCTGGTGGTCAGGAATCCACAAAGGACATGTGAGGTCGCTGGATTAACCCCGTACCCATCTCCTTTGTCCCTCTGCCAGCAAAACTTTCCAGCCACCCACTCCTTCACCTGTACTGTACTCAGCCTCTCAGGAACCCTTCCATCCCTGTCTCCAGGGCACCACTTGCATGTGGGTTAAAGGGAAGCTCGACAGTTTTAGATACGGGCGGTTTAGTTTTCCAGAGTGAAAGCCATGCCTGCTCCTGGAGCATGCTCTGAGGCAGCTATTTCCCCTACAGATTACCCTAAGTACAGGGATAGTGGAAATCCACAGGAGATGGAGCAGCTGCAAGGCCAGTGTTGAGGCATTAGCCACAAAGCAGCATTTCTCTGCAAAAAAAAAACACGTCAGGAAACATTTGTGTTTCCTGCCTGTGACCCAATTCCATGCACTGCAATTTTATTAGTTTGCTCTTGATTAAAAAAGCAATGCTGCTGCTTTATCCCTCAAAACTATTCTCTTTAACAAGTGCTCACTGAAATGAGGGATCTTTGATTTAAATGTGCTGTGAAAATATACAAAAATATATAAATTTTGCCCCCCAGGGCTTCTCATAGTTTTGTTGGGAGCATAAACAGGTTTTGGGAAGGCCTTTCACTCCAAGACATCCATGTTTCAACCCCTCCACGGGTATGAATTAAACTTTGTGGGAGTGAATTTTGACCAGAATACCATTAGATTAGACAAGATTAAATATATAAATTTACAGATGTGCATTCTGCAAATTATATATACACATGTGTGTATGCATGCATTTTTAATTATTTAATCTTACCCACACCTACACACAGAGACTTTCTAAATATAAACCACATCACAAAAAAAACAACCCAAAGCAGTCAAAATTACAAGTCAAAACCAACCCAGACATGCTTAGAACCCAGATTTTAATTGAAAAGCTGCTTTCTATTATTACCACCTGCTCATGCACATGTCTTGTAGCAGTTTCCAAGCCGTGATGCACATACAGAACAATCACACTCAGGTTGGAAAAGACCTTTAAGATCATTGAGTCCAACTGTGAGCCCAGCACCGCCAAGTCCTTGGAGGATTATTTTCCCTGATCCAACCCTAGGGATTGCTGACTGGCACACCCCACTGACAACACAGGATCAATCCCTCCTCTGAATTCCCCTGCTCGCCTGGAGATAATGCAGCAGGATTCTGACTTTTTTGCCCCTATTAAATTCCCATTCTGTCTCAGAACAGATTATGCTGGATGAGAGTAAAAAGACTGCAAAAAATGCGATTTGGGGATTTGGTGGTTTCTGGATTTGGGGGAGAAAGCACCACAATGTGATTTACCAGAGGACAGGGATGCACCAACATCTCCCCCTGCAGCTCATCCTCATGTCCCACCTTGTTCCACCACATCATCCCCCATGATACTCCTCCACACTCTTTTTTCTCTCTATTTGCACACTTTAAATGACTGCCAGGTCTCCCAGTTCCCTCAAGCCCTCAGTGGGATTCATGGCCTAAATGCTGCAGGGGATGGGGCAGGACTCTGCCTGGAGCAGGTGATTCCCCTCTCTCCATCAAAGGAAAGGGCTCACCTGGAACTGGGCACTGATGCTGGGGGGTTTTTTCTTCTTATGGAGGTGGAGGAGAGATTTGGTGATGCGGTCATGCAATGTCAGGTTCGTGAGGTGCTTGAGGGACTTCACATCCAGCAAGTGCTGCAGAAAAAGAGAGAATCCACAGAAAATCCAGATATTACCATCACACTGTCTGCTATATCCCTCCTTTACCCTCACAGGGCTTCCTTAGGTGATGTAATCTCAACAGGGATCAACTATGGGATGGCTTCCCCGTGAGGGTGGGGAGGCCCTGGCACAGGGTGCCCAGAGCAGCTGTGGCTGCCCCATCCCTGGAAGTGTCCCAGGCCAGGTTGGATGGGGCTTGGATCACCCTGGTCTAGTGGAAGGTGACCCTGGCCCATTGTAGGGGGTAGAACCAGATGACCTTTAAGGTCCTTTCCAACACAAACCATCCCATGATTCTGTGATTCTCCTCACTGTTAATGAGCAATTTGCTAATTAATTGCATCATTGACTCTGCAGGTGCAAGATGGACATAGAGAGGAATAAAAACAGTGTTTGCTCCTCTGCTGGTGCTCTGCTCCTGACCATGGATGCAGCACCAGTGAAGACCACAAAAAGTCTTCTTCTAGGGACAAGAGATGTCCTGGCATCTCTTGAAATATAATAAATGTAGCCAAGATGGAGGAAAAGTAACGAGGTTGTTGTCTATGAGGTACCAGCTCTCCTGCATCACTTGCTCATTTTAGTTTAGAGATTTAGTTATTAAATTCCACCAGCATGTACATACTCCTTCTCAGAAGGAGGAAAAAAGAGAGCAGCTCCAAGGAAGATGTAAGTGCTCATATCTCTTTCTCCCACCAGAAATCAGGGCTGAAATCCTCTGGGTTAATATTAATTGAAGAGCCCTGAACAGAGCTGAGTTGACAGAAATCTTGGTGTAGACTCAATGGTCTTCTTCATATCCAGCAGCATCACATGACTGTGCTACAGCCTTAACCCACAAACCACAAGGGGGAAAATGCTGCTTCTCACTCACCTTTGGAAGACTGGGTTTAGCTTTGAAGTTCTTATTTCGCCTGGGGAGATAATAAACAGCACAATTAATCCACGGTGCAATTGTGGAATGGAGGAGTTTATGAAACCAGCCCCTCCACATCCCCCTGCACAGCTGCTGCCAGTAGCCAGCACTGAAATGGGGCTGTCCCTGCATACTGCAGACTAAGAGGAATGTATCCAATTAATGGGAATGGAAATAATGGCATGCTGGGAATTTGGGAAGAGCAAAGAAGCCAGGTCACAAAATGATTGACCAGCCTCCTGTTTCCAAACCCCATGCTCATTCCAGACACCCTGAGATGCTCCCTGAACCTTCGAGGAGGCTGCAATGTGAATCATCAACATCACCTGTCCAGATAACTTAGAAAATTTGATATGATGTTAAAAGTGTGACTGCATGTCATGCAGTCACATTACATGCAGCTCTATCTCCAGATTGATGTGACCAGAAGGTTTGTTCCTTCTCTTTCTTCCCTTTGTATGTCATTCTGAATCAATGAGACAAATCAAATCAGACATGTCAAACGTACTGGGGTTGCTTTGACCCAACTGGGAGCCAGCTCCAAGTCTACTTGGCACCCTGAGAGTTTTATATCCTGGCTATTTACATTCCCCTAAGTACCCTTGCTGCTCATTATGCTCCAGATCCCCTCCTGGGTACTGACATGAGGATGCCATGGGCCCTCTCCAGCAGTTTGCTGTTGGTGGCGTTGACGAATATCCCATCTTTGTCCAGGAAGGTGCCAGGGCTGGCCAGCCTGTTGTGCCTCATCCCCATCCGGCCATTCCAGCCAACTGCATAGGCATCCCTGCAACACCAGACACCGTTAGGAAGAGAGAAAAAACACGGTTCTATGAAAAAAACAGGTAATAAAATAACCCATTGGTAGAAAAGGAGCTGCCAGTTTTTTCTTTCCATTGTTCTTTCTCTCCCATGGGATGAGTCCCTGGTGCCAGACAGAACATGAAGCCATCATCTACTAAAGCACCTCTCAAAGATCAAACATTCACAAAAGGAACAAATTAACAGCAGGAGAGCAACAGCTTCCAGCTCTCCCAGACAGAAACCTTGACCCTGCAAATACCTCTAGATACCTTTGGTGGTCTGAAGGATACGAGGCCATGACATCTAGTGCTGACTCTGTCTCCTCAAATTCACACAATCATTCCATTAGGAAAAGAAAAAGCAAATCTAATTTGCAATAAACTCATTATTTGCCACAAAGATGGATGTCAGCCCCAGCTGGATGGATGGGTTGACCCAGAATCACTCTCTGGGACCTGATTATAAATCAGTCACTCAATTTTGTCCCCTCTGCCATGGAGCATAACTGCTATGGTCTCCAGACATACTCACCTGGCTTCAGAAGGGCTAAAGGCAACCAAGATAGGAACCAAAATCCTCTCTTGGAGGGATGGAAACTGATACTTGACCAAATTACACATCAGGACAAGCAATTTCCAGAGGCAAGGAGATTTCCAGTTGTGTCTGGGAGACATGAAGCCTCTTATGGGCAGCATCCCACCAAAATACTTTTGGCTTGGTGGGTTTTTGCTGGTTTGTTGGGGGTTTTAAATTCTAGTTTTTTTTATCAGCCTTGCAGAAATCATCATACAAAATAAAAGCAATCTAAGGAAGGATGTGTGGGGGCTGCAATGCACCCCCTCCCCCCACCAAATTATCTCAGACAGGAGGAAAAGGAACAGGAGGAGACTCCAGGCTGCACCAGGTCATGAGGACGCTGAAGGACATGGTGGTTTAAACATGGCCTCGGGCGCCGGCCACTTCTGAGCCCTGAGAACAAGGCAGTCCTTTGCCTGATTTGGATGAAAGGCAAATCTCAAGTGCCACATGGAAATTAAAAATTAAAGGATGTAAAGCTGTATGTTCAGCCAGCTCAAAGCCTGGAGCCAGACCCTCAGAGCAACGTCACCTGACTGCCTCATCTAAGCACTTCCCAAATTCCTTCCTGATCCTATTAAATCAGCATTTTGACATGGACCATTATTATAAGGAGGGGTCAATCACAGCAAGGCAAAACCCCTGGCTAAGGACCTGCTTTCTTAAGCATTCTATTTACAGATGGTTAGTGAGAAGCTTGAATATCCAAGTGATCCCTCCTGTTCACCTTTCTTCTCTTTACATCTCAGGTACCATCCACCAAAATCCTCCTGTTTGCAGGTGGAGAAAAAAAAAAATCACCAGTTGATGGGAACCACTAAAACATCAGCCACTTTTGGGATGTACAACACCATGAATCCTGGTCAACCTTTCTGGAAAATCCTAGAAACTCGCACGTTGTTTTAAAAAACACAAGAGATAAAATGATAGCACTGTTCGTTATGGACAATTTAGGATGGATATGTTCACATGGAACAGATGCAGGCTTTTGGTATTTCGGGGTCAATCACCTCACCTAGCCCAGCCAGCTGCTTCCAGACCAACACCTGCTCAGACACCCCTGCACATAAAAGTGTCACTAGTGAGCACAAACCAGCAGGATCCCCACCAGCCCAAGTGGTTTTGGTTAAGCATGGCCTGGCCTTCATTTCTCAGCAGCTGGGGAAGGCACTTGGAATGCTCTGCTGAAGCCTGGTTTCCCACCCAGCATGTGCAAACCACCCGTCCACTTTTTTCTGAGATCAGAGGAGAGCACTTGGCTCCCTAAACCCTCCACAGTGACTTCCTGAGTGATGTCATGCCTCAAAATTGCTTTTAGAAACAGGCCTCAGGCTGTCCTGTAGGTTGGATGCACAACCAGACTTATCAGCAACCACATGATCATGAGATGGCTTTGAAGCAATTCCTGTTTAATTTGGAGCCATAAATGGCTTGCCAGTCGATCTGCTGGGAAGCAGCTAATGCCAATCTGTCTTCCAGATGTGTTACCTGCACTCCTGTGCTCACCTCCTCTTGCTCAACAAGTGCCATTTACCTGAAATACCAACATTCAGCAAGGGTGATATGACTCTCCAGATCAAAAGCAGCTACAATGAAAGGGATCAAAATCACCAGCCTGCTCTGAAAGTACAGGCTGGACCTTGGAGATCTAATGAGACTGATTTGTGCTTCCAGAAGGAAGGGGCAAAGGTGACATTTGGGGATCCATTACTGATGATGCCCAAGGGAAGTGAAGATCACAGACCATGCTATTGAGACATCACAGGAGGAGGAACACAGGAGTTAGGATTACTCCAAAAGCACTTTTTTCTGTAAATAAAGACTCAGATTGAGGCTGCTGGTAGGACACAGCTGCTAAGGATGAGGAAGAAAAACACAGTTCCTAAATTCTGGCTCTTTAGGCTGACTTGTCTGCTGTGCTGGCATGGGCTAAGCCACATAACCAGAGCTGACCACACACTGAACTCCACAGTAAATAAACATATCCTCCTCCTTGCCTGGGTCAGGAGGAGTTTCTCTGCCTTTACAATGTCCCTTTGCTGAGATAATAATATTTTTGGATACGAAAATATTGGCAGCCCCAGCTCCCACACTGAAGTGCCTCCAAAGCTGGAGTTGGGCAGTCAAGAAAAGCTCCGTCCCAGTTCAGGGATGCTCTCAGTGCCAAAGGTTGGATAAAGAAACTGCAGGAATCCTCTTATCTCCAAGGGAAGATCTCCAAAGGGACAAAGTTTCATGTTACGTTATCCTGAGGGAAACTTGCACAATCAGAGGTGCTGGAAACAGGGAATGTCACCTCTGGAGACACCAACCTTCCCTGCTTTGAGCGTTACCAAGGACTGCCTGTCATCACAACCCAACCCACCAGAGCCCCAGCAGCTGCAGCATTATGAGAAAGGAAAGGAGGGTGCCAAAGACTGAGGTGAGGACAGCCAGGGTTGCATCATCTTCCTAGGAAAGACTGGCATTGCTTGTACCACCTGGATTTCTGCTCAAATCTAAGAAGTGGCACAAATTTATGAATTCAATCCCACAATTTTAGGTAAATTCCATGCCCTCTAACCACTGAAATGGACTTGTAATGATGTGAGAACATTCAGTTCTCCTTTAGTAGGGTGCCACTGCCTCTCTTAAAGGGGAGGAATTCAGAAGAAGGACATTCTATTCTTGATGGCACTCAAGAGAGCACATGGTGAGCAAAACCAGGCAGAAGAAGCCACTTTTCTTCCCCTAGAAAAAAAGGAACCATGTATATCTAATTTTTGTTGTGGCCATTTGGCATTAAAGCCATTAAAAACAAGCCTTCACAATATCCTTGAAGGGTATTTAATTTTGTATGGAAGGGAAGCCACTGAGATGCAAGGACAGATTTAATGGGCACATTTCAGGAGACAGACTCGGACTCCTCTTGACTTGTTCTGGGCTTCTCATTAAGCTCAGAGCATCCATAAAGACACACCTGGATATCTGCAGCTCCAAGTAGAGGTTGTAGGAGCTCAGGGTGCTCCTATCACTTCCTTCACCAGCACATACCTGCTCAGAAGCAAGCAGAGAGGCACTGCACACCTTTAGAGGGGTATTGGGAAAATCAGACCACCTGGGATGTGTGGAGGGATAGCACAAGAATAGCTGAGAAAAGGATCAGTGCCCAGACATGCCTTGGATATGAAGACTTTGGCTTCACAAGCAAGTTAATTCTGGAATGGGGATGAAGAAGGCTTTGCAGAAGAGACACAGATCCGTATCTCAAGTGTAGACCTGAGTTTCATTCAGTAGCTGCTTAAGTAGTCAGAAACTTCAAGGAAGGATACAAAAATGTACATAAAATCTGTAAAAATCAATCAAATTTGAAGCAAATGTACTTTTATCCCCCCCTGAAAACAAGCAAGCATTTGGCAAAGTACCATTTCAAATTCCATTACTTGCCATTCCAGGGTGCCTGGAGGTACCACATGCTGTATTGCAGTTCTGCACCCTAACCTGTCCTCCTTAAATGACTACTTCCTTGATATTGGCACATTCATTAATTTTTAAAGCTTCTTAAACACCCTCATACACCCACCACCACCAACTGCTGCCTTTGACACAGAGAAATTGCTTTTCTTGCCTGCTGTTTAGTCAGGAAAGGTGTTTAGATTCGATCACACAGCAGAGAAAGAAGGAAGAGAAGGTAAGATTGATAAGCAAGATGGGGAAAATGTCAATACAGTCATTTTTAGGTAAAGACAGTGCTCTCCCCTCCCATATCCCTGGCCATGCCAAGGTAAAAGCAGGAGCCTTACCGTGGGCTCCTCTCGTTGATGGTGTTGACTCCCTGGAGGTCTGAGAGCGGCGTCCGCGGGCTCTTCCGAGTGATACCTGGAGCAGCACATGAGGAAGACGTTTCCAACTGGCTCCTACCCAAGAGACAATTAGCAGAGCCATCCCCACAGACAATTAGCAGAGCCATAGCTGAGGCCTGACTCTGGTGAGGAGCAGTGTGGACGTGTCCTGGCACATGCCGGGCACAGCCGGGTGCCAGGGATGCCATCGCTCCCCAGTCCCACCTCCCTGCCAGAGTCATCACCCGTGTGAGTAACACTGTTTGCTCCAGCCTCTAATTCCTCTCCCACACACACATGGGATGTTTTAGGGACGTGCTGTCCCAGCTAGCAAATGGGGTGAGGGAAGGAGATGATGGGGACAAGCAGCCACTCATGTCTAAGAGATTCCCCAGCTTCCCACTGCGCATGGGATAACCCAGCTGCATGGGCAAAACACTTGGACATAATTAGAATGCTTGGAAAAATGGTCATTTATTCCTTAGACACTTCTTCTCTCTCTCCCTCCAAATATATGGACATGTGCAGCAAATAGTAAATGCTTTATTCACTATTTTTTAAATGCTTGATTGCCTATTGAGCCTATATACTTTGATACCTGGAAAAATTTATTTGTAATAAAATATATCTAATAAAACAATATATTAAATAAAGTATCTATTTTGTATTCAGCCAATGAAGCTGCCATACATGGTTACAGTAGCAGCTGTTATCTTCCCTGAAGTGGAAATGTTTTGTAACCAAAGCACTTAGGAAGACAGGAGACAATTATTGTAGACAACAAAACACTTCGAGTCACCAAACCACAAAAATATAAAGATCTGATAATGTGCAGTTTGACATGAAAACAGCTGAGTAATTTTGTAACTGTCTCAAAATCACTGCTGTGAGACAGGAAAAATCACAGCTCTCACCTCAGCATGGGAAAAATGTGTTTTATTCCACCCTGAGACATCTACAGTGGGGAAAAAAGGGAAAAAAAAAAAAGCTATCTAAAAAGATAAAAGTCTAAACTATGGTCTGTAGTAGGACAGGAGGAAGCAATGGCATATCCCCTCCTCCCCATATTTATAATTCCACTATTTCATGCAGCCCAGCTGCTGAGCTAAAAGGTGTCCTGGCAATTTTTTATTCTGAAAGATGAACACAAAGCAAATATACTGAGACCTGAGCTCGTCCTGCTGTTCTGAGCCTGGAATTCCTGAGGAGAAGATGAATTCCTACCAAAAACATCCCTTTAACAGGACATTTACCGCCCTCCTTGCCCTGTTAAGGTGCTGTAACAGCTCATCTTGAAGCTGAACACGAGAATCTGTTCATCTTGAATTGGGCAGGAGAAAAGGCTGCTGGTCCACCTGCTCAAGTTTTTGCATCTAAAGGTGCCCAAATATTCTGGAAATGTCAACAAAGTAAAATTTGAGGGTGTGCTGTCGCTTTGGCCCTGCGTGTATCTTTGTGCTCCAAGGCAGGACCAACCAAATCACTCCTGCTGAGAAGGTTTGGCATCTCCAGCTTTTGGAAAGCAAGGCAGATGCATTTTGGAATGCATCTGAGTGCTTAACAATTCCCAAGCTCAAAACTCTTTTCAATCCCTCTTTTTGCCATTTAAGCCAGTTTTGAGTTACATTTCTTGTCCTAGGAGTGTTCTTGTACCTCCTTCAAGACTGGCATTTCTGTGTCCAAAGTCCTGATTTAGAGCACAGAAAATGAATTGCAAATAGGGAAAAATCGGAATAACCAGGAATCTGCTTAAAATGTTGCATTAGTACTTTGTATAGCTAGTTTTAGACTAAGAAAGCACCTAATGTCTAGCTGCATCTATTTTTAATATAGATAAAATTAATATATTTTAATATGCCTAGGTACTTCCCTGGTAAGGCCCAGAAGGCTTTTCTTATCTAAAGGAGTCCATGAAAAATGGGATTTCACTGGTATTTCCAAGATTTTATTAATGCCTACCCTTATTTTTGGAGCAAAATTTGTCTTCCTACCCTTCTGTCAGACTCAGACACAGCCTGATGTGGTTTACACTTCAGGAAGAAAATTATCCTGATTTTTGACGCATATTCCCTTTCCTTCAGCAGGAGTGTTTCGGAAAGACGGACTGATTTACCTAACAGGTCTTTGTCCTGGTTGAGAAGAGTTTTGGATAAGCCCTGTCTACTCCCTGTGGATGAATGCCAACCAGCAGACCTCCAGTCCTGAATCAGAGGTGTCTGAACCCAGTGCCTTGCTCTGGAGGAACTGGTGGTATAGGGTTAGGGAAGGGTGACCAGCTGGTTCTGAAAACTGAATACCAAGGGACCTACAGGGAATCTCGATAGACCAATTTGAAAGAAACCAATTTGTTTTCTCTCTTTGTTCAGAACTAATTTCACAGTTCAAGACAAGGAGCTGACCTTGGTTCCTGTCTCAAGGGTGATGTGGATGTCTAACCTCATCTGATTTGTGGGAAAAGCTGAGTCCCCAGGGCCAGGCTCGCCTGTAGGGCCCAAAACCTGATGGATTCTGAACCAGAATGTTCCACACGCTCCAAGCCCACTTCAGCTTGCCAAGGCTGGGAGCCTGGGGAAGCAGGAGCACACCCCTGGGAAGATGGAAAGGACCTCTAAATGCAGAACATGAATTACTTGTTTGCCTGGTCAGATGCTAATTCACAAACTGTGCCAATATTCTTCTTAGACCCACTCGTTGGATTTATCCTAAGAGTTCCCAGATTGTGTGGACTTATCTATATTAGTGAGGTTTTGAGCTCAACAATGAGCTCAACTTCCTGCTTCCCACTAAATTAAAGCTCTAAGTATCTCTTGAGTTGTAAGAATTTCCTCTTTACCACCTAAGGAACTGCAAACTAAACCCCCCAAAATCTCCCATATTGCTGATTCAACTTAAAAATTAAACTGGTTCGTTAATTGCAAGTAAAATTACTCTGCTGATAACTATCTTCCTTTCCAATGGTTTCTTAGTAGTATCAGTATGGTCACTTGGCACAACACCTCTTAATAAAATTTAAAGTCAAGTAAAATTTAGTATCACTCCTTCATATTTTCCTATAGCAATGTTGGGAACTTGTAGAGGAAAATAATGTAGTTAAATTAAGAATGAAAGCCTAAAATTAAGACCTAAATCACCACTGCTCCCTCAACCCCACATGCTGCAGGAAGCACAGACAACTGACAGGAGGGTTCTAACAGGAAAACCACATTTATGAAGATTTAACATGCACCTACTGTACTTACTGTGCTCAGCTCTACAGAAAAATGATAGTTTCCAATTACACCTGAATTTCATGAAGTTTAAGCAAGTTGGGCTGAGGCTTTGCCCAAGCAGAGCAGCACTATTTCTGTCAACTTTAACACGCAACATGAATGAAGAGAAATGGTAGGAAAATAATGTATCTAAACATCAGAGCACCAAATATCTATTTAAGTATAAAAATAAAATAGAAATAAAAATAAAAATAAAATAGTGCAGGCAAGAGTGTCCATGTTGTCATGCAGGATGAGTTTATTACGTGACAGAGGAGTGAAGATGAAGAAATGGAGACCAAGTGCATCATCCCATAAAATAACATTGACAATGCCTCTGTTTTAAGTAAAAGCCCTCGGAGACAATGTTTTCACTGGATTTTCTGAAGTCCAATGAAATCCAAATTAAGTTGAATTCCAGCTGTACCAGCTTTGTATCAGGAATTCTCTTTATTCATGTCAGTGAGTAAACGGGAAAATTGCCAACAAAACGATTTTTGCAAGATCTCAAGAGATATGGGTTTGCTTTTAATTTGACTCTTCCAGCTCTGCCTAATCCTTTCCCAATAGGTTCAAAACTGCTCTGAAGCAGCTGGTTTGATCATGGAGGGCTCCTCAGGCACTGTGTTTTTATCCTTTCTACATGGAATGCACCTGGTTCCCATTTCTGGACGTGTGAGTGTGGTATCAGAGGGGAGGGCGGGTGGTGGAGCCTTACTGTACTTCTCTTCCTTGCACCTCTGCAGGATCTCTAAGCTCCTCTGATGAACTGGGTGGTGGAGAAAGCTAAAACTATCCACACTTTTCAAAACCGCACATGGCACTGCATCATCATGCCCTTGGGAAGCAAAATAAAAACAAACAAAAAAAAAAAAAATGGAGAGAAGAGAAAGATTTTATAAGCAGAAGTCAGGAGAGGGGAAGGAACAAGCCCAAAGGAGCTCGAGGGTCACAGGTTTTTGTGCTCAACACAATTTAACTGTGGTTTCCTCCACACGGCACTGTGGCATGGAAGCAGTGGGCTGGACCATGTCCCAGTCCCAATTATAAACCTCATTAGACAGAGCATAAATAATAATCACTCCAAGATTATTTGGGCAAAAAGAGGATTATTAGATAAATATTTCCTTTTATTAACTTATTTTTAAAATCCTTTCTGTGCCTCCACCCAGTGTTGCCTGCAAATCCCTGTGCAGATGCTCCGTGACAGAACCACCTGGAATTCGCATCATGCATCCCAGTGCTACATTTTGCTCAGATTCTGGCAATTAAAAGGAAAAATGTAAATTATTTGCATTAAGCACCATTTCCATATTCCCCGAGGGCAGAGAACACAGAATCTGGAGTTTGGCAGACTCTGTGTTTGAGGTTTGATAGGTCTGAGTTGGAAGAAACCATCAATGTGTGGCCAAGAGGACTTCTGATGGCCTAGCTGTGAGCACAGGGTGGAGGAGAAGTGACACCAGTGACAATGTGACAACACACTGCATCTCTCTGTCATTGTTGGCCAAGTCCAGGATGTGCCACACTCCCAGTGAGGCGTGGGGAGGTCACCAGGGAGTCACTTTGTGCCAGCATCTATGGGAGCATTTCATATCAACACATAAAACCATTGGACAGGATTGATCTGAATTTTCCACAGGAGCACTGTCAAGGGGCATCTTCCTCACCTTAACAACAGTGACACCTCAAACACCAAGCTTTTGATTGCTGTCACCTTTATTTGGCAAGTACAAACTTTTTTATTGATTATTTTGATGGCCGTGTTTTTTTGGTGATCAGCTTTAGGAATAAATCTGCAGAAGCCAGTGGGATTACTTTTAAGCAGGAATTACCCAAGGAGAAACCCTTGTTGGCTAAATTCAACTGCAGAGCCCATCAAGGGCAGGCACAGCCTCAAGGCCACAAAACCTTCATCAGAGCAAGGATTTAGGTCCAGCAAAACCAAGGCTCTGCAGCCTAGTTTGTATGAATAGCACCATTTTTTCCATTAAGTTTTTGCCACGAATTAGAGGGTTTCACATAATCAATGTGTATTGATGACAGCAAAAAAAGTCAATCAGCCAATTTTCTTTCCTAAAAAGCTTGACAGTGTTCCTTTAATCCAAGTTCACAAACAAATTCAGTTCTAACATGCAGTTCTATTGGACCATTTCAATCCTCATTGATAAACTTAGTAATAAAAAGAATTAAAAATCAAATTATTGAAGAGTTGCATCCTTCAGCTTAAGTGCAGCTTTTTGATCCTGGTATCTTTCATTCAAGGAGCGCTGGCAGCACCCTAAAAAGCATCACTCAGGCAGAAACACAAAGGTAGCAAAGAAAATTCAGTGACACCACTTTGCTGCTCTTCATCTTCAAGTTAACGAGGACAATCACACAACCACCAAAAGCTGCACTAGGAGGGTATCAGAAGCACAAAAAAAGAAGAATCCCCAAAGCCAGCAAGAAAAAATGCTGATTATCCTTCCAGAAGCATCTGCTTGGCATGGAGGAGACAGCCAAAAGGATGATGTGGAAAGGAAGCAAAGCAAAATTTTGCAAAGCTGCTTAGATGTAAGCCAGGGATTTTTCCAGAAAACCCCTGTTGGGTATTGCAAGCATAAAAGCACAAGAGATCCAGTTGGGGTTCAGACAAAGAATGCAAAGAACCTTTAGTTAAAAGAAGCAAGTTTTGGATATCTCCCTGCTCCCTCACTTTACCTGCCTGATGGATGGGGAAAGGACCTCAGAAACCAAAAATGGGCAGCACATCTTGAAAAAAGATCTGTACAAATAATAATATCTGTACAAAAAACACACTAAGTGTGTACATATGGATGACTGTGTGAGAGAGGTTTTTCTTACTCTTTGTTACTTTTCTTACATCATTTTGTCAGCAGCTCCACATCTCTTGGCAGGCAGATGCTTCAAATCAGGCAAATTAAAACCATCAAGGTTTGATAAAAACCAAAATAAACCTCAAACGTGCTGCCTTTGGTTCTCTGCTTCTATCTATCAAGATGGGAGAATTTGAGTGATACTTTGATAACTCACAAATGTTTTCTGCCACAAAGGCAAAGCATCAATCTGGGGCTTTTCTGCACTATTTTGGAGAAGGGAAGGGAATTCCAGCACCTAGCAGTGGATGCATCATATTACACCAGCCCGTCGCACTGTCCTGACACTGCCTGAGCCTTCTGCCCATGTCTACCTCTTCCACAGCCACCTGCTTTGGTGACAGATTTTGGAGGAGGACAATGGAACAGGGGATGGGTGTAAAGTCACACTAGCAAAAACACAATTAAACCCTGCTACTGATTTCACCTTGCTAAGTGTGACCTGGGCAAAATCAGAATCCCAGGACGGTTTTGAGTTGGAAAGGACCTTAAAAATCATCCAGCCCCACCCCCTGCCACAGGCAGGCACACCTTCCACTACAGGTTGCTCCAAGGCCTGTCCAACCTGGATGGTCATGCTTGGACATGGTGGGCAGTTCTCCAAAGAGGGCGAGGACAGTGATCCCAGCTCTGCCATTGCTTGTAGGTTAAGTTTTTCCCACAGATAAGGTGTACCTCAGTATGGAATTTAGATTTAGGTAATCATCTCCCAGTAGTGTTGCCTGTAAAATGGAGACTTTCTCATAACTTTTCCCCAATTTGATGCACATAGAAGTTCAGGGTATAAATGATCTGAGCGTTGTTGCTAAGTTTAAGACAAACCTTATCTGGCTTTCTGAGGGGTTTGTTTTTCCTTTGACTCAAAACCCAGAGTGAACAAAGCACAATGCCATTTGAATACAGGCTAAAGGACATGGACAAATAATGGAGCACCACCATGAAAAGGTTTAGAAATTCAACCATCACCATGTATTAGTTAATTTTGGTATGGAAAGAGAAGGCGATACAAGAATTGAGTCTCAGAATTGTCTCAAGACCTCCTGGTCTCATCCAGTTACATATATATATATATATATATATATATCTAAAATCATATCTATATATTGATACAGATATATATAGAAAGAGAAATATAAGCAAAACTCTGGACTGAAAAGCAGGAGTGAGGAGACAAGCACAGCAGTGTGCAGGACCAGTTGGCAGAGACACAGAAAGCGAAGCAGGGCTTGAAATCAGCTCTTACTTCCTGAGACTGAATGATTTTTTCTTGTCTTCTGGATTACCACATTTAAGTTCAGCCTGGGGTTTATGCAAGATGAAAATGCAAAGATGGATTTTGGAAGCCATCTCTTTGGAGTGGCTTTCCCCCAAAGCCAAACATCTTTGCCATCTCTGTGTTTGGTTACTCTGTCCAAAAACACTGCCTTGATGTGCCAGACAGACCCAGGCTCATGAGTCAGCTCTTCTCTTACACTGCATCCGGGAGGTGGCAGAGGAAGAACCTCAAGACCTGACAGTTGATTTTTTGCCTCCTGCTCTTCTTGGAATTTGCTCCCAAGAAAATGATTCTTTCTGCTTGAACAGTTGCCACTCTATGCTCCTTGTCCCAGGCTCCCTCACTCTCCACCATGCAAATCTCACTGATTACAAAGTAATTCATGGTGAGGCTCTGCCTTTAATTTTATCCCTGCTGAGGCTCTAATTCTATCACGGATTTCAAGCCCACTTGTGCCCAGAAATGAACAGCAATAGCTTGTACCCGTCTTTCCGAAATTGCTTTATGCTGAGAAATGGCCTAAAAGCACAGCCAGGTCTTGCCTGCCACAGCATGATGATGCACCATCACTTTCCTTTAATTTAATGCCCCTGTGATCCGTGGTTCTGGATGACTGCAAAGCCATGAATTTTGCTAGACAAGAGACATGCTCTCCTGCAGCTGAAAGGGTGAACAGCTTGGAAAATCATAGGAAGATTTATTGCTTTTTTTTGTTTCCAGATGTAACTAACAGTTCAAGAATTATTACAAAAATAATTTCCCTTCTTTGCTGGCTAATTTGTATGTCTCCGTTCGAATGACTTGTATTTTTCTATCCATGCATCCTACAATAATGAAAAATTAAAGCAGCAGTAAAATGAAAATATTTCCTTATGATACATTAAAATCAAATGTACTTTTAAATGTTACCTCTGAAAAAAATTTACCTGCTAATTCAACAAATTTTCTAATAGATTCATAACTCCTAATAAGTCAGTCTACTTAAAACAGGGTAGTAACACGTTAGACCCAAATTGCTGCTGAAAAACAGGCTCCAGGAGCAGGTGATGGACGTACCAGTTTTCTTCTCCACGTATCGTTTTCCAGCCTCCCTAAACGCAACCATGGCCCTGAAAAAGGCCCTGAGGACGGCCCAGCGGAACACAGCCACGGGGTCGATCCCGATCATCCCGCAGATGAAGGCGTTCTTGCTGCTCCGCAGGAGAGCCACGATGTCCGGGCGCATGTGATCCGTGTTCTTCTCCCGGAAATCCTAGGGGAGGAAGGAGGAGGAGAGAGGAAAATAAATAATATCTGCGTGATACTCCAGGTAGGATTTTCCAGGCTATCTCTGGGCCAGCACAATTATTGAATCCTGTTTATTTTTTCTCTCCTGCTCCCATATTTGATACTTCTTTATGATCATCATCTCTGGTGCTTATAATGTTCATTTATTGCATCTCAAACATGATGAGAGATTTGCAGCTGCAAATCCCAAGGCTATTTCTCACACAGGAGAAATGGCTTATCTGGTCACTGGAATTCCTTCTGCTAATAACTGGCATGAATAGAAATGGGGCCAACTCTGTAATCATTCACATGGGATTCCAGAAAGTACCTGTAGCAGTGGGATGTGGAGACCTAAGCACACATAACGTGTAATAAAAGTGGCTAATGATGAGGAAGAGGAAAACACTGGGTTTTCTACACAAGCCAAGTCCAGAAAGGCCACCAGACACCCAATTTCAACTCATTGTTGGGGTGTAGCACTGAACTCACTGCGCTTCCCTAAATTCTTCCCAAAATGCCCACGTGAAGGAGAACAGGAAGACCCCATTTCTACTACCTTTTCATTTCTCCAAACACTTCTCTCCTGACCCTCCCACCTTCTTGGGCCAAGTCCTCTCCAAAACATCTCTGTGGAGCCTCTGGGGCTTTCCTTCCCAATCCCAGATTTAGATGAAAGCAACTGCTGGGGAACAGCTGGGTGACAGACCTTGACTCCGTACTTCACTTTGCCCGCGTAGTGTTTGATGATGAAAGCTGGCTCCATCACCGCTGGGAATTCAATGTAGGAGTTCCCTTCATGTTGACGCTTGAATTTATCCAGCAGTGTCTGGTTTGTGGCTTGAGGAAAACTGAGTGGAGAGAATTGAAAGGAAGAAGCTGCAAACCTAACAGGAAAACTTTTCCACTTCTTTCATGTCCACGAAAGGGAAAACAGAGACATTCTGAGTAGAGAAAGCCAACCCTCCATCCTCAAACTTCATGGAAATCTGCAGCATGGGGCTATATTTCACAACTCTATCCAATTTAAGTTGTTTTATCCCAGTACATATCACTGGGAGAGCATTACTACTGGTCTCCTGTCAACGAGACAAGAAGAGGGGGAGAAACCTGCAAGGCAAATGGTAGGAGCAGACCTTGTGCCCCTGGCCACATGGATCTGAGGTGACCTCAGCAAGACCACCTGGCCTTTCCCTGCCTTTCACATTGAGGAAACTGGCACGAGCATCTGATGGGAGAACTGTCCTGCTCCAAAGTTTCCACACCAAGGCAGCCCCAGAAGCCACATGTTCCCCCAGGAACTTCTCCTGAGACAGATGGATGCAACCAAGGATGCAAATCTGAGCTAAGTCCCTGATGCCCAGGAAACCCTGTGGAAATGCAGCCCCTATGGACAAGTGCCCTCACTTCACTCTGGTTCAGTTTTTTACCAGTAAATTGCTAAATCCACCTTATATCTCAATAACAGCACCTACACATCCTGCTTTGACTCATGCACTTGGGTTCAGCACCTTCACATTGTCACACGCCAAGAGACAGGGAAAGAAATGAAGAGAGAAGCAAAGGAAACCTTTTCCCTTCCCTTTAATGGAAGAGATTCTTGAAAGTAATTTTAATTATTATTTTTTAAGGCTTTTTGCTCAGCTGGCTGATTGTCCAACTCTGTGTGTTGCCACCTCAAAAACAACACTAGAAACACCAATCAGGCCAGTGAGATATTAACACCTTTCTGGGAAGTTGTTGTTTTTTTTTTTCAGAAAACTGAAGGATAAACACATTTTAACTGAAAAACAAATCTCATTTCCAAAGCCAGCATTTTCCTACTCACTTGCTTTCCTCATCCAGCAGATGGAGCAGCCCCGTTGGCTTCTTGCTGATCAGGTTGATGCAGCTGGAGTTGTCTATGTAGTCGATGTTGTGCCAGCTAATTCCTTCTGCTCTATATTCCTCCTGAAAAAAAATCAAAACCACAGATGACATAATGATGATTTGGTGCAAGCAAAAATAAAACACAAAATCCAAAGGTTTTTGTGGAAACTGATACACCGTTTACCAAAACAGATATCTCTCCTGTAAATATTCCATTAATGCTTTCTGTGATTCCAAAAAAAAAAAAAAAAAAAAAAAAAAAAAAAAAAAATAAAAAAAAAAAAAAAAAAAAAAAAAAAAAAAAAAAAAAAAAGATAAAGAACCTCTGGAACAACCTGAAACAAAGCAAACCACAGAGCATTTCCCAATTTCAGATGAACCAGATGTTTGTTCAGACACAGGTGGCTGTGTGGGAGTCCAAGCCTGCCAAGGACATCCAGCATGTGCGGACTCCCCCTTTCCTTTTCCTGGACTGCTTCTAAATCACAGCACAGTTTGGGTTGGAAGAGACCTTAAAGCTCTTCTCATTCCACCCCCTGCCATGGGCAGCAACAACTTCCACCAGCCCAGGTTGCTCCAAGCCTCATCCAGCCTGGCCTTGAACACTTCCAGGGATGGGGCAGTCACATCTAACCCTGCCCTCTGGCAGTGGGAGCCATTCCCTGTGTCCTGTCCCTCCATCCCTTGTCCCCAGTCCCTCTCCAGCTCTCCTGGAGCCCCTTCAGGCCCTGGCAGGGGCTCTGAGCTCTCCCTGGAGCCTTCTCCTGTCCAGGTGAGCACCCCCAGCTCTCCCAGCCTGGCTCCAGAGCAGAGGGGCTCCACCCTCAGAGCATCTCCCTGGGCTCCTCTGGCCTCTCTCCAGGAGCTCTGTATCTTTCTGATGTTGGATCCAGGGCTGAGGCAGCTCTGCAGGTGAGGTCTCACCCGCATGGGGCAGAAGGGCAGATTCTCCTGCTTCCCACACTTTGGGATCTGGGGGGTTTTGGGGTCCCCAGTGCATGTGGGTGGGGCATGTGGAACTTCCCACCCATCAAAGTGTCACACAGTTTGCATCAATTAATATTTAGTATTCGGTTGCTGGAAGGAAATTGTGGTACAACATATTAATTACACAGAAAATGCAGTAAACCTCCCTCTCCTGCTTCCCTAGGCTCTGCTCTTCCACATCTCCCACTATTAATGGCCAGTGCTGTATGTGCTAACAAAGAGAGCTCCAGCTACACAAAGCCACTGCTCCAGGGCCAGCAGAACCACCACCCTGTACAGCAAATTTGAAGATCAGCCTCCAAATTCAAGCTGAGGCAAAAAAAGCTATTGATTTTCCACCAAAATAGTTCCAACCCTTGGTCTCCTATAAAGGTTATCTCCTCTGAGAAATACTTGCAACTGAATTACTTCAAGAAGTCTTACGCAGAAATTATTTCAGGGCATCTAAATGAAAGCAGAGTTTAAAAATCATAATTTTTATCATATGTTTAAGACTTGTGACTCATTGTCTAAACAGAGATACTGAACCATGCACCTTACTACATGTGTTGGACAAAGTCCTACTGATCCAGCTGCCTTTTTACTTCTCTATCACAGGACATTTTGATGGCAGAATTGAAGATAAAAAAGAAAAAAGCTTCAAAACCCTAATAGCATCTTTCTAATGATAATCAGATTCATTATTATTGGTGCCTCTCCTTTATTTTTAATATGAGCAAACAACTTTTAAAAAAAGTATGTGCATCCTAATCCAAAATTAACATGAACTCCGCAGATATTTTTAGAAATAAAGAGTCTGAAGAGCTTTTAGACATTTGACATTTCACAAGGAAATTTTTGCTAAAACAATCCCTAGAAGGTCTTGAATTCAGTATGAGAGACATTGTATAATCTTACAACAACAGTACAGACAAATACAGACGTGTGCTGCCTTAGAAGGAGTTTTTAATATCCCTGAAGCCTTTGGGATTCAAAATATACAAGATCCCATTGGGGGAAAAATCCTGAAAATAAAGAATGACTCTGCATCATGAATTTTGTTTTCTCCTTTTATTTTTTATTTTTTTACCTTCAGTTCTTGCCCAGCAACCAGGACACAGCAGAATCTCACAACAACATTCTCGAGGCCCTGCTGAACTACAGGCAATCGAAAATCACAGATTTGATTAAACCTTGTGGCATTTTGCAAGCCAGGGAAAAGCTTTTATCCAGCAATCACAGGCTGCGTGTTTCGGAGCAGGCACGAGCTGCTCCTGAGGGATTTCCCTGAGAGTCACTGGGAGTCAGCATCATCCATCAACTGCCTGCTTCCAACAGCCCTTAATGGAGTGCAGGGTCCATTAGGCCCAGCTTTGCCAGCTCAAGACTGCTCAGGAGCATGCAGAGAGCAATAAAACCTTGGTGTGATGAGCCAAGAGCAGCATTTTTCAGTGGTGACAGGTGGGTGTTACCAGACTTACATATCTATTATAATGACTCTTTGTTGAAGTACTTGTGGGGGGGGGGGGCTTTACATTTTTTGCTCCCCCAAAAAACCCCATAAATCATGTAGAGTTTTAAATCTCGACACATCTAAGCTGAACAACCATCCCTCTGCTCTAGAAGGCCTCTAGATATCCATAATTCCACATGGGACATTCAGCAGCTGCACAGCAAATGTGCTGTGAAACTCCTCTGGCCACACTAAAATCTTATACTGCTGCTGAGATCAGTGCAAAAGCATTGATCAGCAATGCCAGATATGGAGTTTTTTAAAATAGTCTAGTAAATGACCAATAAATAGCAGAGTTCAAGGTCTCTACTTCTCTGGGCTCACTTTCAGCTGTTCCACAGACATGATGGTCAGTCAATAGGTCCCTCCTGGCCTCGTTTCCTTCAGCTGCAGGATTTTGGCTAATTCTCCCTCCTCTGCTACTTTTTTTTTCTCTGGGCTGGGTCAGAAACCCTCACTCCCAGGCTCTGGGTTCATCCCTTCCTTCCATCCTCAACACAACCTGTTCCTGTTCTGGCCAAATGAGAAGAAGGATTCAAGTCCTCAACAAACAATCTTTTCCACAATAATTCAGAGATTTAGTCTCATTTCAAGACAGGCAGCAGGAACACTTCCAGAGCAACTGCTCCAAAGCTTAAATGGAAATAAATCCCCCTTATTCCTTTTTCCCTAGCATTTTTCCAGTTCTTAATTTGGTTGCCTTCAGGATCTGAGCTCAAGAGATACAAGAGATATGGCTTTGGGATGGCCTGCTGTAATTTCTGGGGTATTTGCTGGTCTGCAGAATACTCTACAGATTGTTCATAGAAAGACAGAAACTATAGGGGAAAATCACTGCTGTCTATTAAACTTAATTAAATTGCAGTTGTTAATATTCCATGTGATTCCTATATTCATCTTGTAATGACCATCTTCCTCCAGAATTCAGGAGATACCCTGAAAAGCTACCTCAAAATATTCCTTCATCTCTGAGTATGACAACAAAGCCTCTGCCGTCCTTTGATGGACACAGGGTCCTGGAGCACTGGGTTACTAGGGAATTCCATCCAAACATGATGCTTTCATTTAACAAGACCAAAACAACATGAAACACTTTCATTCAAACAGAAACACCTCAAGTTGGAGATTGATCAAAAATTGGCTTAAATTTATACCTTGATCGAAAACTAAGTTATGTTTAGGGGCACATCCAAATGTCCCATTCCTGGAAGATCATCTTCACATTAAGAACCAAATTGGTGACATTACCACTATCTGCAAAAGTTTCTAGTGCAGTGAAGTCCACAGAGCCCCTTTTTTGGCATCCTTACTTGCAATAAAAATGTGAGGATTTACTCCTCCCATCCCTGGATACCTGAAACCTGGTCTGCTGGAAAGTGGAGCAATGAAAGTTCACTGGAGAGAAGAGCACCGAGCTCCCAGACTTGGCAAAAGAAATGCAGCAAAGAACTGAAAAAAATACATTAGGGTTTTTTTTTAATAGAGTCCAGCAGCTCCATATTTTCATTTAATTATTGGGTGAGATGCTACAGATTGTTCTCCAAGTGACCTCTATGGACTCCATGAGGAGATTCCTGCTTCCCAAGTGGGAATTCAGAATCAGCTTTGCTGACCTAAGCATGGAGAGAGACATTGGCATTTTGTCAGCATGGGGTCACTGAAGGGATCTGATTAAAACACAGCTTATGGTGTTCAAATATATTTTAAAAAGACATAAAATGGGCATGCAGACTTTGAAATGCACACGGAATATATGAGTAAATCTTTACTCTCATGCAGTGTTAGCTGAGGCAAAGCAGCATGTAAAATTTGGGGTACCAAATAACCAGAAAGGGGCAGAATTTCCAACATTTTTAAGTAGGAAAATGACTGGAACTCTAGGAAAGGGGGCACTGTTAAAGCTCTGCTAAAGGGAAACTGCCTGCCTACACTGACCCAGAGCATGAACACTGCCCGTGGCACAGAATAGTGAATTGAAAATTAAAACACACATGCTGAGCATCAGGAAAACCTTCCCAACTGGGCTGCAAGGCCTGATGGAAACCCTCCTGCCAGGAACAGAAATATCCTCTAATTTTATAGTTGGAGTTGTTGAGAACCAAGTCCTGTTATCCCTACATGAGCATTGGACCAGTTCTGCTATCAGGACTTTATTTTGCTGCTAAACCAAACCAAAACACTCTAATCCAGGGTGGAATTAAAGCTTTCTTTATCCTGAGTGGGAGATAACACCCACAAGCCCAACAAAATCTTGGGAGATGCTGCAAAATGTCTTTACACCTCTGCATATGATCATCAATTACTCTGTATCCAGCCACAGTCATCAGTAAATAAATCCAAATGCTAAACAGCATAGTTAGGGGAGAAAAAGTTAAACATTATTTTAAATCTCACACTTACATAGACATGATAGCTATGATAAATATGGTATCTAAATAAAATATCTAAACTCTCTTTGGAGTAGCATGGTCCCTGGGTGCTGCTGCTCCCCAAAATCACGTGGCAAAGTTCAGAGTTGGGGAGAAAGGGACCAGGGGCTTAAAAAAATTTCAGAGAAGAGGAAATGCAGAGATTAAATGAAACAGGAGATGTGATAAAAATA